CGCTCCCTGGTCCGCCAGGTGGTTTCCTGTGCGGTTAAACAGCTCAATCTCGCTGATGCCCACTTCCTGCAGAGACTGATGGGCTTTGATCTTGATCAAAATCCGTTAAATGCTGACGGTGCTCGTCGGACTGCGCTTGAAAGGTGTGTCCAGCATGCTGTCTCTTAAAATGGCTGGCTTGTTCTCGAGCGTCAAAGAAAGCCTTCACTACGCCCAAACAACCCGAAACAAAAACTACACTCGTACCTCAAAGGCACATTACCGTGCCAGTCGGTGCAACATGCTCGGACACTGAGCTGTCTGAGGGAACGGGGCCCAGACAGGGCACTGCATGTGTCAAATGAATCGCCGGCCTTTGAACACAATGCATGCCCATCCTGCGCGTCGCAACTCGCGCACGTGGTGTGTCGTGCAACTTGCAGATATCCGTGATATTCTCAGGCAAATCTACGTGCCAGTTTACAAACCAAGAGCCTTCGGCGAGGGGGGCAAGGTACTCGTCGCCTGGGTGAGGGAATCCTCCCCTGGTCATCGCGAAAAGGTGATTGCGGTCTCCCACGAACCCATCGATTCCAGCGAGGGTCCCTGGGGCCACGAGCTCCTTCCGTTCTTCCTCTAGGCATGGACACTTCCAAATGCGGTGGAACATCGTGTCGCTCGCGCCGCAGCCGAGTGGGCAATCCTCAGGGTAATCGTAGCCTCGGCTGCGAACAGATGTTCTGGTCCATACTGCTCCACAGGCGGTAGCGCGGAGGATGCCCTTCTCGAGGGCCGTGAACCTTGATGAGTTCAAGTGCTTGCTGACGATGTCATAGCACGATCGCCCTGGGAACAGATTTGTCTCGCCGATGTCCTTTTTCTAGCCGACGAACAACGGCGTCCCTGAGGAGGCGCTTCAGCATCCCAGGGGAGTTCAACGTTAACGAAAACTCATCCCCCTGATCCGCGATCATCGTGGTAAAATTAACGATTTCCCAGCCGACCCTTTGGAGACTCATGCGGACGAAAGATATCGGGCCGGCGACGGATCTACAAGTTTTCGACCCCAGACTCTCTCCCAGGCGGTCCTACGGATACAGAAACTGAGGATGGAGTGGTGAACCTGGAGGTGGGCGTGCCAGACTTCCTCATGCCAGCGCAGAATGGGGGCCACCTGGATCATCCAGGTGGGGCCCTGCTCGAACAGGAGGAGGATCGAGAGGGAGCGGTCTCCAGCCGCAGGTTTTCACACGGAGGCGAACGACCTTCTCAGCGCCCGCAGCTCGGCGTCCGACACCCCGTGGACCTCCGCGCCGCGCGGCGGCGGCCGGCAGAGGCCTAACGACCCGAATTTCACGAACTCGGCGCCCCAAGGATTTTTGGAGTTTGCCGAGCCTCTTGGCCCTGGTCATGGCTTTCTTTTGGGCGCCCGAGTTATCCGGGGTAACTCGGGTCCGGGGTAACTCGGGTTTGGATTCCCGAGAAAGGAACCCGAGTTAGCCCTGACCCGAGTTACCCCTGATGATTCGGGGCTCTGGACGCCCGAGTTATCCGGGATAACTCGGGTCAAAGGTAACTCGGGTTTGGATTCCCGAAAAACGAACCCGAGTTATCCCTGACCCGAGTTACCCCTGATGATTCGGGGCTCTGATTCTTTGTCCTAGCCTTGGCCTTGTAATTCCGTCCTGCGTGGCGCACCGGCTTGCCGACTCTGTCGTCGACCCCGAGGTTGGAGGTGGCGGCGCGCAGGGGGCCTGTGAGGGACGCCCCAAGCTTCTCCTGGATGTGAGCGCCGAGGGCCTTGCTCGAGCACAACAAGACGGTCTTATCCTCGGCGAGTGTCGCGCCGATGTCCTCCGAAATGACGCGGAGGAACTGCCTGCTGCCGTCCGTGACGGCGCGCAAAACCTCGTGGTAAGAGCCTGCAGCATGTAACCCATTGCCGTCGATATACGAACTGTAGCTTAAACATGGATGCCAGCATATCGAATCAAGACCGCCCAGGGAATTGATTCTGATGAACGTGGTAGCGAAGGGGCGCCCCGCGACGACTCCCGAGGTAGCAAAATACGCTGGGGAAATCACACCTTGCAGAGATCAGTAACGAAGCCCCCGATAGGCCTGGCACGCCAACCAACTTATCGCAGCAGAAAAATCATGACTCGCGCATCTCAGCTCGACCTGATTGATGTCTCACGCTTCATAATACGTGTGGGAAATCCCAGAGAAGCGTGCACGCGCACTGTCCGGCAGCCACTGCGGCCTCAGACTGGAGACTCTGCCGCCAAGCTGTGCCCGCAACTCCCATGAATTCTCCCGCAGCGAACCAGGGCCGAAGGTTATCATTTCCCCAGTGGCCGTCGAATCTTGCCCCACAGACGGTAGGGGCCAGTAAAAACTCCTATAGGTCGGTATCCGCCGACAAGCTTAGGAAGGAGGTGAGAAATGAGTATGTTAAGTTGGGTCGGAAGGGGTCCGCTGGTTTCCATGGCGCGAAAAATCCCCACCAGGCACTCCAGCGAGCTGTCGCTGAGCCAAGCGAAGTGGTTCATGTGAAAACCGCCCGTTCCTACATCAATGGCCATTTTATTGTTTTTGCTGATGCGCCTAATAGCATCGACACTCGGAAAATCGACTTCAGCAGCCGGGGTAAAAGTAGCCACAGGCGAGGGAGGGTCAAGGGAAGCCCTCCAGAAGGCCTTAAATTTGGCAGCCTCCGAGTTTAGAACAGATGGGGGGTCCGAAACTATAGAATCGTCGTTGGCCAACATTGTGGTGGCACTCCAAACCTTAGGGGTGGCGGTAACGAGGTGAACGCGTTTCGCGCCTCGTTCGATGCCTGTCTTCAGCCATTCAGTCCAAAAAGTTCAACGAGCGGTCTTCGCAGCCTCCGAAACCCGATCCACTTCTTTGAGAATGCTGTCCCGAACGACCTTCCCCCTAGCTATCAGTTCTAAGGTCGGGCAAGGTTCCTTAGAGAGCTCGACTGCATAAGCTCGGGCCTGACAAAAAATCTGGCTGGACTCCCCGATCCCAGCGGTGACCGCCGCAGGGGGGGAGAACAGAACGTTGCTGGCTTGGCTGGTTCTGGAAAAGTCCTACGTTGGGGCAGTCTGCAAAAGAAGCTGAAAATGGTAAAGCAACCACCTGCGCGAGTACATCAGAGGGTGTCTCTGGGAATTCTTATCCATGTCGACCAGAGATATCCAAATGACCTTAGGAGGGAAAGATCGGGTTCCCATCTTGACGATCGGGATCCAGTGGAGTTGACCAACTCCTGTTCGGCACAATCGGCCCATGACCTATACAAATCGTCCAAAGCAGCGCTGGTGGCAGCCCCGTTTCCCGTTCGAGCAGCGGTGAGCGCAACGTCCAGCAGCTCAAAAACTCGCTGGTAGGATGGTGGCCCCACCGTCGGGGCGATCGCGCGGTACGGGGAAATCCGCGGTGGCTTCTGGAATGCCATCGCTCTCAAAGACGCGAGTTGGGGATGAAATGCCAGATCCACAGGCGAATGGGGCGATAGATCGGAGGAGCTATCCAACTCGATCGATTTCAATCCTTTGCTGAGGCCGCGACTGCTAATGACAAGAATCGTTCATGCGAACGCCCCCCGTAGTAGTGCATGTGCCGGCCGCGTCTGGGTAGAGGAGGGTTCCCTAGGTCATGTCCAGGAACTCCGAGGAGGCGATGGTGGGGGGCTCGAGATTGAAGTCCCCCCCGATGAACCATGGCAGCCCAGAGGTCGTTACGAATAGCCCCGCCTTCGCTAACACAGCAGAGCTGTTCTCGTCTAGCCCCATGCCATGCTGCAGGTAAACACTCGAAATCGCGAAGCTCGTGCCTCCAGGAATTTGAATGATGCATCCGGTAGCTCTGCCCTCGACGAGCTCATGTACACCCAGGGTGTGCATTCCCAGCAACTGTCGAGTGAGAATCGCAACCCCTCCTCGCGTGCCAGAGCCATCTCCCGCCAGCGCCGAGACCCAATACGATTCCCCCCCTGCCGAAGGGTCCACGCGGAGGCCTGATCCAGGTCCTCTTGGGACCTAAGATGGTGCTCCTGAAGGCAAATAACGTGCGCAGCGGCGTGCTCGCGAATCCAGGTCTTGGCCGAGCCCCACCCAGAAACGTTAGCAGTGCAAACCTTGAGCGAAAAATCGGTGCGCTCAGGAGCGGCGTGCTTCAGAGGACGGCAATTTGCTGGTGCATCCTCATGGCACCAATGGGGCGGACAAATCGTGCCCCCCCGGTGCAATCAGGAGCGAAGTGCTTGAGAAGACTCGTGTGGTCTCTGGAGGTCTGTCTGGGGTCCAGGGTCCCAGAGGCAAAAATTTGGCGAGCCCTTCCAGAGACGGAGGCCAGCGCTCCCCAAAAAGCTCTGATGGAGGCCCTCCCAAGAGCCCCGGAGCGTTCGTTACATACGCGGCTTGCCGTCTTCGGCGGTGGCGGCAGCCTTGCCCGCTCCTTTCCCGATGGCGGCTGCTCGGGATCGCAAGTTGTTTCCTTGCGTTCCCGCTTCGTCTGCGGAGCCCGCCGAAGCTCCAGGTGCGGGGGCTGGGCGTGCGGCCTGTGGGGCGGGTTCTCCAGAGGCTGGGGGTGGTCCTCCTGCCTCAGAGGGGGGGACTCCGCCGTTGCCTCCCGGGGTACTCCCTGGAGCCGCGCTTTCCTCAGTCCTACGCTTCTTCTTAGACAGACGTGTGAGAAAGTCCTTATGCTCAGCCTTGATCTGGTCCGCCTTTTCGAGGGCGGCCGAAAAAAGGGCCTCGGTCTGATCTCGCAAGCATTGCTTGAGAGTTTAAACCAAGGCCTCACCTTCTACGCGGTCCTCCTCGCTGAGCTCTGCACCCTCGAAGTCGCCGACTCCGAGGACGTCCCCCAACTCGATTGGCAGGTCCTCCAACGAGCCGTCCAGGATGGAGCAAGGCTTAGGTGGTGCAGCAGCGGGTGGACCTCACTGTCCGCATGGAGGCGCCGAACGAGTTCGGTATGTTTGCTTTCGGCGACCTGGAGCTCGGCATTGAGAGATTGTACGTGTGACCGTTGAAGCTCGAAAGCCTGCTCCATCTCTTCGAATTGCCCAACTGCGCTTGCCAGCTTCCTCTCAGCCGAACGCAACTGGTTGAAGGCGCGCGACACCTGCTATGAAACAGGAAGTTCAGATATAGGGTGCCTCCGCTTGGACAAAATGCCCTTGTACTTGACAACTCCGGCGGTGTCGCCGACCTGGGTGAGTGTGCCAATGAGGCCCTCGAGCTCATCGTTGGACAAGTGGTTCGTGGTAGCAGCCTCCGGGCTCCCACCACCAGCATCACCAGCAGCATCAGGACGAGGGACGCTGGCCAGCGAGCCAGGGCTGGCCCATTGGCCTGGCGGCTGGTTGCCCCAGACTTCGAGCGTCGGCGCCTGGTTGTCGAAGGTCGGTGCGGGGAGCAGCAGAGAGGAGAGAGGAAGAGGAGGAGGAGGAGCATGAGGAGGAGAAGAAGCAGGGAGAAGTAGGACGAAAAGGACCAGTGTAAACCCAAGAGTCATCAACGAATTTGGAATAAACCCTCCCTCAAAGCTCCCTCTTCATAGGTCCCAACAAAGACTCATTCACACGAGAGGAAATGCCTCGTTGGAAGACAACCGTTTGAAGACCCTGGAACATGCCAGAACATTGTCCTCGGGATTCCAATGCCACGGATCAACCTGCATGTTGCGTATTGCCGATCATGAAGATTGCCAGAACGCCTTTCCTGGGCATTCAACACCGCAATCCAACGTAACTGTTGCACCACCAGAATGCATCAAGACGCCTTCCAATGCACCATTTCTGGTACGCTGATCATGGGGATACCTGAACCTCTTGCACGATTTGTTTAACGAGTGTGCGCGGCGCCAAGGCGAGAACCACATTTTGAAAAGGAGCCGCCCTCCGTCAAGCTCTTGCAACTTCTTGAGTTTTGAAGGGAATGCACGCGGCGCTGAAGCGAGAGCCACAGTTTGAAAACCACCCGCCCTCCATATGTTAAGCTGCTGCCAATGTTTAAGCCTCAGGGTCATACGTGGTGAGGAAATCTCAGGCGAAACACCCGGCCCGCCCAAAAAACTGGCCTCGGGGTGCGACAGGGAGGAGCCTTTAAGGAAAAGGAATGGATGAGGGAGTGGCGGAAACGATAGCTGCTCAATCATAAGCGCACGACGGCCCGCGCGGATATTTCCTGGACCTGCTCCAGACTCCGCCCAGCGGGGCGGGGGGTGGGGGGCGAGGGAAAGACGACTGCCTACCAAACCACCCCAACTCAACCCGACGCCACCCTTGGGCTCATCAACTTCCCGAAGGGGGGGGGGGCACTCCAGAACAGTGAGGAGACACGCTGGATACCGTACACCTCTCCACCCGAAATGTGGGAGGGGATGGGACCTTCGGGTTGGGTCGGGGTGATTTGGTTACAGCAGTGCGAGGAGCCAGGATCCCAGATCATTGAATACCGATTGTGTTCGGCCGCGATCGGTGGCGACCGATCAGCACTCCAAATCGGTCGCGGCCGATCGCGACCGATCACCAAATCGGTCGCGACCGATTTTGAAGTAGATCGGTTGCGACCGATACCGAAAATTGAAACATAATCGCTAGCGACTGTTCTCGTCGGTCGCGACTGGAAGATTCCAGTATCCACTGATCAAGGAAGGAGGGGGCAGAGAAGACTGCACATGCAAAACTTGCGACGACCCCCGCGGAGTTCTTGGATCTGCGCTGGACCTCCCAATGGCTGCGCCTCTCATCAGGGGAAATGTCCACCCCTATCCTGGGCTTCGTAAGGTTTGCGAATGGACCAGAAATTTGGGGTCCAACCCTGGCATCGACGATGGGGGAACGCCCATCCTCGATCGGGGGTGCGCCAGGATAGACCCCGGAGGTGTATGCAAGGGTTTCCTTCCTCTTCTGAGCGGCTTCATGCTTCATTTCTCGTCGAAGAGTCGGGGACTGGGGGAGAACAATCGCCTGCGACCTCTGGCGCCGCCCTTGGCGCCCCTGGCGCGCTGTGCGCGCGGCAAGGAGAAAAAGGGTCAAGCGCAGATCCAGGGAGGCCGCGTCCTTCTCACACCGTTCCGGAACGCTGTGAGAGCATTCTGGAACGCCCTGGAACGGATTCTGCCTCGTCCTAGCCTGAGGTCGGGCATGTCTCCCTAGAAGCGGATCTTGGAGGAGAAATCGAACATATTCAACAAATGCTCAAACATAATCAAAAACATTGTCGAAAAATCGTCCCCCGGCTTTTTTGCTTGACTATTTTTGAAGACTCCTCCTGTAGAGGGACATGCCCGACTTAAGCCTTCTCAGGGCGTTCCAGAACGCTCTGAGAGCACTCTGGAACGCCCTGGAACGGATGCTTCCTCGTCCATCCCCGTCGCGGGGATCTCGCGAGCGCCGCCCAGCGACCCCTCGCCCGGCGAAAGCGGAGGAGGGAGGAGGAGGAGGAGGAGGAGGAGGAGGAGGAGGAGGAGGAGGAGGAGGAGGAAAAGGGGGAGGAGGAGGAGGAGGAGAGAGGAGGAGGAGGAGGAGGAGGAGGAGGAGGAGAGGAGGAGAGGAGGAGGAGGGAGGAGTAGGGGAAGGAGGGGGGAGGCCCCCACGCTGCGAGGCTGGGGCCGAGGTCAAGCGGGGCCCGCGGGGCGCCGCGCTTCGAGTCTCTTCCTCCTCATCCTCCTCCTCTTCTTCGTTTTCTTACTCCTCCTCCTCCTCCTCCTCCTCCTCCTCGTCCTCCTCCTCCTCCTCTCTCCTCCTCCTCGTCTTCCTCGTCCAGCTCCTCCTCCTCCTCCTCCTCCTCCTCCTCCTCCTCCTCCTCCCTGTCCTCCTCCTCCTCTGCCCCTGCCACTGCCTTGGGGCCTTCGAGGGTGGGGAGGACGGGTCGGATCGACTACACGCAGGAGCGGCCCTGGGTAAGAGTGACCTTTGGCGCGGGGCTTCCGGGGGCCGCGGGGGGACCAACCACAAGCGCGCGAGACGCTTCTATCGGGGCCCGACAACTGGGCGAGAGCGCCCCGTTTGAACAAACTTGCAGTGCCCAGATCTGGGGGGCCCCCCCTCCCCTCCCCATCGGGGTGCTGCTAGAAGTACCCCTGACTCAAGGTGCCCCGAGGATTTCCAAGTGGGCCCCCACGGCCTCTAAAGCACCCCTCAAGAAGCCCAGAGGTGGGGCTCCAACAAAATGGAGGGACAAGCCAGGGGGCACCTTGGGTCGAGGGCACCTTTAGCAACCCCCGAACCCTACCGCCACGTTTCTGGCCGCGACGACGAGGCCTCGGGATTGGGAAACAACTCCTGGGAGGTCTTCGTAAGAACGATCAAAGCATCTCAAGCGCGGTACGCGGGCCATTGAGCCGGGCTCGTCCCCACCCCTCGCCATCACTCGGCCGTACATTCCCCGTGCCTGTTTTGGCCTCGTGCGTGTATATTTTGCTCGCTCGAAGATCCAGGATGATGTTCCTCGATGGTCCTCGCCGAGGATAGAGGCCTCCAGATTGGGTCGGAGTATATGGGATCGGAACATCGCGCCGCATCGCCGATACATCGGCGACGCATCGGCAATGCATCGGCGATGCGTCGGTGATTCACCGGCGATGCATCGGCCGCGTCGGCGGTACGCCGGCGACACCGTCGTGAAGCAAGTCGGGCCCCAGCATCGAGCCGCATCGGCGGTGCATCGGCGACGCGGCGCGACCCCCCGACCCCATCTACTCCGACCCCCATCTATAGGGAGCCCACAAAGGAAGTACGTCGCCCAACTATGTACATGAACACGGCCCCTCGATCCGCGACACTGGCCGCGTGATACGAACATTCGGGCAATGCGTACCCTCGAAACCAGCGTGAATTCATGTACGTGTACGCCCTCACTTCGCTCCCGAATCTGGGAGGCCCAAAGAAACAGAACGTGCACACGACCGGGCGATGCCCGGACCCCCCGACGCGCCCCGCCCCCGGCGCAGCGCGGGACGCCTGGCGCGCAGCGCCCTCTCGAGCAGCGGCGCGGCGGCGGCCGCCTCTCGGGGGCGCGGGGTGCGGGGGGGCGCCGAGGCAGAGGAGGCGACGGTCGGTGGCGAGCCCCGGGAGGGGGGGAGCGAGAGACAGGGTCTACCTGGTCGTTTTTCGCTTTGCTTTGGTGTGCTGTTCGTTTGCGTTTGGGTTTCGTGTTGCTTTCGTTTTCGTGTTGTGTTCGTGTTCTCGCGTTGTGTCATCGGTCCGCCTCTGATGCAAAACGAAACCGAGACGAAACGGCCCACGGAACCGCCACAGCACCGTTTGGGTCGGCCCCGGGTGAAAAAGGGCGGGCCTTCTCAGAAGGCTTGGAAGTCCCCCGACCTTCTGAGAAGGTCTAAGCTTCCCCACGAAGACATAGGAAAAGCTTCTCAGCACACGCGAGGTTTCCTGCTAAGTCCCGCCGCCTTCTGAGAAGGCCTTCTGCTTCTCACTTCCCCGCCCTCGCTCGCCGCCGAGACGGGGGAGGAGCGAGTGAGGGGGTGCCAGCCTCGGACAGATCTGAGATTAGCGAGCCAAGAGGCGATGACAGTCTTGGGGATGCGGCCTCAGAAATGGAGGGGGTCCTTAGGATCGGCATCGAGAAAAGGTGATGCGAATTATAGGGATAGGGATCTGCTTCAGGCTGGTAAGCGCAAGAGCGACCATGGTGACCTTCGTTGGGCGGCTTTAGGGGCCACGGTGGGGCCACACCCAAACGCGCACGCGCAAGCCAGTATTTGAGGCCGCTGGGGGGACCCCTCTGGGCCCGCACCGAAGATCACTCCGGCAAAGGTTCACTCGTAGGTGTGGCCGGTTCATCTCCGAAACCCTCGTGCCTTCTGGGGGGCCGTCGCTGTTTTCGGAGAAGCCTCAGAACCCTGCCCAGAAGGCGCGGGGGCTTCTGAGAAGCCCCGCCGCCTTCTGAGAAGGCCTGCCCCCTCTCGCTTCCCCCCTCCCCCCCCGGGCTCGCCGCCGACCAACCCCCACGCGAGGCCTCGAGTCACGATTGGCGAGCGTATCCAAATCCAGGCCTTCGTGGTCTGGTTTCCAGGGCGCGATGCCTCGGATACGCGGTCGCACGGATACGCTCCGCACGGGGCGCGCACGCGCCAAAGACGCCCCGCATCAGCAGGGTCGCGGCCCAAGGGTCGCGCCCGCGAGGCTGCGGATACGGATGCGTTTTGCGCCCCCCGTCGAGGCAACGAGAGCGGAGGACGAAACAGGAGGGAGAAGGGAGAGGGGGCCGACAGCCATCCCGTCGTTCTCTCTCCTTCAATCCTCCCCCGTCTCCTTGGTGCTCTCCTCCGCCCCCTGATCCTGCATCTCCTCCCCATCCTCCTTTTCCTTATCCTGTTTTTGCTGCTGCTCGTCGTCCTCCTCCTCCTCTTCCATTTCTACCCCACTCTGATATTCCTCCGACCTCAATCTCCTCGTCCATCCTCACCCCCCTAACTATCCTCCTCCTCCTCCTCCTCCTCCTCCTCCTCTTCCTCCTCCTCCTCCTCCTCTTCCTCCTCCTCCTCCTTCTCATCCACCTCCTCTTCCCTCGTGGTTATGGCTCAAGGTCCTTCAATGGGGCCTCCGGCTTGCTCTGAACACGGCAGGGCCAGGCGCCCCCCCCCGTCGATCACCAGCTGATTGTTGCGCCATGCCTCGCGCCGAAAGGCTGGGCCACGCTTGTGTACAGGCGGCGGTCGGTAACCCTCCTTTTCCCGGTCCTCATCGTCACCTCCACCTCGGGTTCCAACGTGGGTTTGTTACTATAGGGAGGGTCATGCAACAAACGTTGAAACACAGATTTTACCGATCTGTGCAGATGCGGCCTGGCAAAGCGGGGCGGCATCAACGCGACGCCAAGGAGCGTCGTGGACTCGAGCTTTTGGCCTGGAAGCACGCCGCGCGCGACGACCGAAACCGTGAAGTTCTGCAACCGATCACTGTGTTTTGGGGGGTGCACGGACACGAAAACCACTGTTCGGCTAAGCGTTCGCTGGCGCCCGCCTCATCCTCATGCCCCATCCCCCGCCCCCTCCTCCGAGTACCCCTTCGGTTAGGCCCCACCCTCCTCATGCCCCACCGACTACCTGCAGTCCTCATCATGCCCCTCATTCGCATCGTCACCCCCCCATCTGCCAGTTAATGTCGTTCCTCGTCGTCCACCTCCACTGGATGAGTTCCCCCGTCGTCCACTTGCTCGCCCTCCTCCCATCTTCTACGCCCTACTGCAAATCATTCCCCTCTTGTTGTGCCCCCCCCCGCCTCCCTCGTCCCCCGTGATGTTCACACCGATGATGCAGCTCCTCCTCGGCCCATGTCCGCCCCTGTCGTCCTGCCCCTTTCATCCCCAGCCCCTTCGCCACCGTTCCTATCGAACCCCTCCCCCCCGTAGCCCACCATCCCCACCCCCCCGCGCCTTTGCACTCCCAGACCACGGCCCCCTCCTGGACCAGCCAGGAGTTCCACAGAAACGCCCACCCAGTGACCATTCCAGCGAGCGGCGCGCAACTTATGCACAGTTGGAGACCCGAGCTGTGTATCCCGACCGCGTACGATGCCCCCCCTGGATCAGCCGAAAGAGAAACGTGAAAATTCCAGCCCAGCCAACGCCACCCGCGAGGGGCGCACTCCAAATACACAGCTGGGAACAAGATCTGCGTACACAGATCACACCACGATGTGTGAAACCAGTGGACCCACGGACGAAAGTACACAATTGACAACACCAACTGCGCACGCACATCACACTTCAATCTGTGTAGTTCCAGAAAGGTAAACGCTGGCCACCTCGAGGGTACCCCGACATTGCCAACCCAGATTCAAAGTCGACATGCCAAACTAGGGGGACATGCAAATACACACTTCCCCGGCCCAGGGCGCCCCCGGGAGACCTGCAAATACACGCTTCCCTGGCCCAGGGCGGCCACGGTGAAATGCGGCACCGCAGCGGCCCCCAACGGCCCGAAAACCCGAAAGCCCCAAAACCGCACAGCAATCCGAGAACACGAACGGTGTCACGTGCCATGGGCCACTTTCACAATCAAAGCTCCACGCGTCGCCATACAGACCGCTGCGCTGGCAACGGGGCGGGCCTTGCCGCAAACACCTATACATCTACATGTTAGCGATGCGACTGTGCTCGGCGGCCGTGCCGCCCGCGTTTGGATTGCGCCCCGAACGTTCGCATTGGTAGTCTCCTCTATTTGGTTGCGCTGCTGTGCTCGGATATCGAAAAAGGGCGGTATACTGCTGAGACGGGCACGCGGCGCCAGGAACTTCACATCCGTTGTTTTTGAACAAGGAGGGAACGCGAGGTAGGACGACAGATGTTGGAGCAGGGAGGCAAAGAGGAGGAGGAATAATGGGAGAGGTAGAAAAGGGCGCTCCCCCGCACGAGCCGCGGACGCTTCGACACCATCCAGGGGGGGAACAAAGGAGGGGGACGGAGCAAGGGCGAGGACGACGACGGGAAGCAAACTGTCCTCGGTCCGCATAAAGCCATATTCTTGCGATTCGGGTGCGCGCGCTTTCTTCGAGACACTTCAAGCCCGACCCATGCTGAACTTACTAAGACCTCCAAACTGTGTAAACACTCTGTCCTCTGTACCCTCTCCTATACAACTGCCTCAAAACAGAGGTGCAGTGGATTCCAAGTCACCTCGCCGCTCTCCATCAGCAGTCCTCCTGATCTGCCCTTCCTCACCACCCCTGATCTGCCCTTCCTCCCCTCCCCTTTCCTGGGGAAACCGAGAAGTACCGACACCGCTGCTCCCTGGACCTCTCCCAGCGCGCGTTCTGACTAGGATTTCGAGGCGGATCCAGCGGTGGCGACGAGGGCCACCAACTGCTCCCCTCCCTTCCTGCACCTCCTCGTCCTCGTCCTCGTCCTCCTCCTCGCCCATCGTTCTCTTGCGCCTCCCCGAGCCGCAGGTGCAGGCACCCCAGCTCGAACGCGGTATCCACCACCTGCGGGCTGCGGGACGCGGCGGGAGGTCCAACTGGAGAGGGAAGCGGAGGAGCAGTGCAGGTGCACACGCGCCTCATAGTAATATAAGATGGCGACTCGGAAAAAAATGTGGGGGGAACGATCATCAAAACAATGACCGAATCTTCGGTTTCCGCTTCGCTCGGCTCCGTTTGGCCCGTCGACTGTCCAGGCGCGCGCCCGACGAGAGCGGGAAGGAACAATCGAAAAACACTCTCTCGGCGCAAGCTCGGTGTTTCTAATCATCATCCTGGGCTCTCCCGCGTGAACACGAGCCCCGGTAATTTCTCAACCATCATCCTGCATTATGACGTCCTACCCCTCAAACCCATCCCTTCCCATTGCGTTGAATCGTTCTCTATCGGCTGGCTCGGGTGCCATCGAGGACTGTGATACCCAAACGGCAGTTGTAGGATGTGAATCCTCGGTTGCTGCGCAAGCGGAGGAGAAGCAGGAGGCAGAGGATGATGATGACGCTGCTGCTGATGGTGATGATGATGAGGAACAAGTCAGTGAGGGTCAGGAAGGAGGATCAGCAAAAGATGCAGTGGCAAGCTAATATGCGGCAAGCAAAGGAGGGGAACGGAGGGGGTGGAAACGACGAGGATCGAACCGGATATAGAACTGTGGACCGCTCTGGGTCGCTAACGCCGTTCTGACAGACAGGAGCAACAAACACCGAGCCTGGAATGTGGCCAACGCTGCAGCAAGATCGCCATACGCTAGGAGTTGTTTGATTCATGACAGACAGACAGCCCTGAGACCCATGGACGTCCATTGATTTTTGTTGTGGGGACGTCGCGCTGTCCATAGCAAAACCATCGGAACCCAAGAAACCCAGGGCCCCCTGGAGGCAAGCAGGGTGTTTCTTGGAATGGACCTCCACTGTACAGCAACAACAAGCTGCGCGTGAGCTTCTGTTTGTTCCGAGCGACCGTCACCCGAGAACGCAAGGCGGGATCCCCCAGGGAACAGCGGGCCCCGTGGGGCCTGGCGGCGGCCGCGGCCTGCAGCCGTCACTCGTCGGCGACAAGAGGCGGGATCCCCACCAGGACGAGCCGGGCCCCGCTGGGGCCTGGCGGCGGCGGTGTGCAGGGTGTCCGAGCTCAGTGGGCCCTGGAACAGACAGGGTCGTCTTTTCACCGGTTCCGTTATGACGTTTTTGCGGCCGGTTTGCTGGTGCTAACACTTATTTTTCACTCCTGGAACCGCTTCTGTTGCCGTTTGGAGTCGCCGTTGTTGTGCCGTTTCCATGTTCACGGCACTTTTTCGGAAACGGTGAAAACGGCCCTGCCGTTTTCCGGGGCCCACTGAGTGCGAGGCGTGTCGGGAACTCTTTCCTTGAAGTACGCTACCGCACGTGCAGCGGACGGTGTGCCTCGGGGCTCGCTTTCGATGTCAGGTTGCCTTGAAATTTCGCTTCTTGCGAAGCAAGAAGGCAGGCCCCCCCTGACGCATCCAGGCCAAGTATGTTCCCTTGTCCAACCCAGCCCCTGCGTTTTTTTATACTCCGAGCAGACAGTTGCCACAAATACACAACATGCAGGAGGGGGGTCCATGAGCTCTCCCACCTGGATGCCCCTCCCGCCGCCGCCGCCTCCCCCCTTCGCCCCCGAAGCGCCCCCCCCGCCCCCACCCCTGGCGTCCGCCCCCCGAGAAAGGTAGAGGAATCGCGCGGCAGCGAAACTGGATCCGACAACCCCCACCTGCCAGGTGCGGAACTGATATTGGCGGCGCGCGCACAAGGGATGGAGGAAGGGGGGAAGGCTTCTCAGAAGGGTGCTGAATCTGAGAAGACGCAGATCTTACATCAAGAGATAGGGCCCGCGCCTTCTCTCTCCACCCGCCTCTGCGCGTAGGCGATACTACGTGTTCGACCACTGACCCCTTGTTACACATTTCCTGGGCCGTCATCGGCGGTCGTCGGGCGGTTTCTGGCGGCCTTCTGATGGTCTTCGGTGGTGCTTGGCGGTTTCCAGCAGTCTTCGGCGTGGAGCAAAGAAGGGTCCATGACCGAACAACGAAAAAAATACTTCTACGAGTGAGAGGCGGGAATGTGCCAACACATCGTCGCGAGATGCAACGGAAGATCCCTTACTGTCGTTAATGATCGTAAGGATGCGCGATAAAGGCTGCGAGCCCCGTGGACGCCCATATCGAAGCTCTTCGAGCGGGGCTGATCGAAAGGGGTGAGGGATGGACCACGGAAGCAAGGAGAAGGGGGCCTTCAAACTCGATGCGTTCTTGCAATCGGCTTCGACTGAAGTTTTCACCGGTGGTACGGTGGGCCAGCGTGGCGGAGAGCAGGGGAAGGCCCAGGCGAGAAGACGATCAAGAGGAACACGAGGCGGGAAGGAGAAGAGCGGCACCAATGGTCCGATATGTTGCCTTGGGCGAATAAGACGGCCAAAGGAACACAACATTGGGAGAAAACGAATCGGGCGTTCGTGAACCACGCAAGGGGCAAGGCACCTTGCGGGCCCTGCAGGGTAACACCTCTGGGCGGCCTGCCAGGCCCTTGGGGACCCTACGAGGGCTCGCCTCGGCCAGGCAGGAGGGAGGAGAAGAGGAGCACGAGGAGCGTGAAGAGGAGCAGGAGAAGGGGACGCGGCGGGAAGCCTGGGGAAGAAGAGACGAGGAGCAATAACTCCCTCATCGTAACGTCCCCGCGCCGTCTGGGAATGGCCAACTGGGGGCATCCAAATCACCATCAAGACGTGCTGGCGCAAATCGTGACGCTACCGCCCCTCTCCCCCCCCTGGCAACGCCCGTAGTCGTGAGGGGAAACGAGCACGATACGAGGAACTGGCTCAGGGCGGCGGGAAATATCAAGCCGCAATCGGCGATGCGCCGATAGATCGGTGATAAGGCCCCCGATAACGAAACCGCAACCTCCTCGGCTGGGTGGGGGAAATGGGCACATGTCGGCGGTCCCTGGGCGACTGGGGGCAAATACGCTCCCGCATCCCCCCCACGTTGCCCTTGATGGCAAATACTGCCACACATGTAAACAAGAAGCTGGCTCCGTTCCGTGCCAGCTGCAGTGCAGGGTGACGATATTTCTCTCTCTCTCTCTCTCTCTTTATCTCTCTGCTGTCCTCTCTCTCTCTCTCTTTATATATGCATGTATACATGTATGTATGTCTGCATGTATGAATGTTCATGTATGCATGTGTGTATGTCTGTCTGTCTATCAGTCAGTCAGTCAGTCAGTCAGTCAGCCAGTCTGTCTGTAGAAATGTGTGGATGTGTTTATGTGTGTGAATGTCTGTATGTGTGTATGTATGGTTGTTTGTGTATGTGTATGTGTGCATGTGTGTGTTTGTGTGTATGCATGTATGTATGTATGTATGTATGTATGTATGTATGTATGTATGTATGTATGTATGTATTTATGTATGTATGTATGTATGTTTGTTTGTATGTTTGTTTGCTTGGTTGTGTGTTCGTTTGTTTGTTTGTTTGTATCAATGTATGTATGTATGGATGGATGGATGGATGTTCTCCGATGCACCTCCCCGAGGGAGTAGAACTCAGAGGCGATAAATTGAAGGCCGAGCCGCGTCTGCGATGTACCTGGCCGTTTCGCTAGGGGCATCCTCGAAATTCTGAAAATCGGTGGCACCCCTCACACAGATCGTGACGTCAGGGTCCAAAAACACATGGGGATTTCAACATTCTAACGCAAGACCTTCGAAAACATAAGGTACTTTCAATGAGTTTGACCCCGACTCTCAAAGAATGGCGGTTTCGCCAGAGACATCCTCCGAAAATCGAGCCCCAACGTACCTTCTGGTACCCCGCCTCGGAGCCTCCTGGGGGCCTCCTGGAACCTCCTGGGGCCTCCTTGGGCCTGCGGTCTCTTGGTCGGGCCTCCTGGAGCCTCCTGCGGCATGGACTTCCTCGCATCTTCGAGCCCAGACGTACTCTCCTTCGGCCTCCTGGAGCCTCTTGTGGCCTCCTGGTCGGGCCTCCTGAGGCCTCCATGGACATCCTCGCAACCTCGATCCCAAACGACCCCTCCTGGGGTCTCCTGGAATATTTTCCGGCATCCTGGTCGGGCCTCCTGAGGATTCCTGGGGGCCCGTGGTACACACATCGCAAGTTGTGGCAACCCCGCTTGCGCTCGAGTGCGACCCCGCTATTGCACTTCACTCCCAGCAGCTATCATCCTCCTCCTCCTCCTCCTCTTCCTTCTCTTGTCGTCCTTCTCTTTCCCTCCACATCTAGTGAAAGCTTCCCCTGGCGGCGCCGCGCCCTGGCGGCGCCGCGCCAACTTCCCCTTCTCCATCTCCGATCCCGCCGTCATGGTGTCTTCCTGCTCCAAACGACCTTCCAATTTTTGGTTGTATGAGCCTGAAAACGCACGTGCCACTTGTATATATAAGATGTGTACGCTGTGCCCCTTGCCAGGCCCATCCTTGGACCAGGAGCGGTATTTACGCCCTTGTGGCTTGGCCGGAAGGCACACACACACACACACACACACACACACACACACACACACACACACACACGCACACCGCTCCTGCAACCAGGATGACCCTGGCCCGGCGCAGCGCAGATGTGCAAGTACAGTCGGGGCTCGACCACAAGACAGGGGCAACAAAGGCGGATCCTGGAATGTGGCCAGCGGTGCAGCAAGAACACCGTACGCTAGGAGTTATATTCATAGAAGACAGAGACTTTTGATGTGGGAACGTCGCGCCTCCCACAGCAAAACCATCGAAACCCAAGAAACCCAGGGCACCCTGGAGGCCAGCAGGGTGTTTCTTGCCATGGGTCTAGACGAAACAAAAAAACGCCATAAACATACACTTTTGGCGCTCCGCGCGGATTTCTGGGATCTGCGCTGGACCCCCCTCCCTGGCGCGCTCCGCGCGCCAGGGGCGGCGCCGGAGGCGCCGCCAGTGGGGCGCAGCGCGGATCCAAGAAATCTGCGCGGCGCGCCGAACGTTTATGTTTATGGCGTTTTCCTCTACGAGGGTCTCCACTGCACGCCTGCTGGAGCCTGAAGAAGCACCGCCCTTGCCTGTGTACCACCGAGGAGCGCCCCCCCGAAAGACGCCCGGGGCCCTGGGCGCGAGCGCGCGGCGTCCGAGCTCCCTCGCCACCCTCTGAGAGCAAGCTGTCCTGCAGAGTCTGGCGCAGACCTGCTTACACTGATGGGGTTCGGTCGGGCATGTCCTCCTACAGGGGGATGTTGTAAGAAGAACTAAGATTGCCAAACAAGTCATCAACAAGAGTCAGAAGAGCACGACCGAGCGTCCCGAGATTAGTCTTCAAAGATTCCTCCTGTAGAGGCACGTGCCCGACTTAATGGTAGGGGGACGGGAAGCGGTGAGGCCCGAGAGGGAATGTGGACTTCGCGACGCCCGTCGGGCCTCGCTTGCAGGCCGTGTCGGCCCGGCGCCGCTTGCAATCAGCGGCGGAAGGGCAGGGGGGGATGCAATGCAAAGACACTTGCCTGGGTCACAATGAACAAGCATCATCTTCGCATCGTGCGCGAACTCATCGGGGGCAATCAAGGTGGGGTCGGCGAGGGCTGCAGAAAAGGGAGCCCTTAAGGGCCTCAGCGGGGGCCTCTAGGGCCGGAAAAGGGCACCTTTCTCCCCTCCTCCTCCTCCTCCTCCTTCTCCTCCTCCTCCTCCTCCTCCTCCTCCTCCTCCTCCTCCTCCTCCTCCTCCTCCTCCTCCCCTCCCAATGTAGGCGGGCCCGGCGCCTCCGGGTGGGTCGGGTCGACGGAGCTCTCCTCGGACTCCAGGGACCGCCTGGCCTGCTCCCGCCGCTGCCGGAGCTCCTCCCCCAGCGGGGGGGAGGGGGGGGTGCGAGAGCAGGAGAGGGGCTGCTGCAGCAACGACCGCAGGCCAGCGGCAAAGAGAAGGGGAATGATGAGGACATTGACGAGGTTTGTGAGAATCGTCCACAGCTCCCTGGAGTAGGGCTCCTCTGTTTCTTGGGGTCCCCCTCCTCCTCCTCCTCCTCCTCGTCCTCCCCGCCTGCTCCTCCTCCTCCTCCTCCTCCTCCTCCTCCTCCTCCTCGTCTTCGTCCTCCTCCTCGTCTTCGTCCTCCTCTTCCTCCTCCTCCTCGTCTTCGTCCTCCTCCTCCAGGCCACACCTGCTGCCACGCCGCCCACGACGGCGAGCTCGGGCCGCGGCCGCGGCGGCCCCGCGCGGACGCGGCGCCCGTCAGCGCCCCGCTTCCCTGCCCTTCCGGCGGCGGCGAGCGAGACCGCGGCTAGGCGCGCCCCCGCTCTCGCAGCAGCTTCAGGGCCTCGGCGGGGCGGCCCGAGGCCCCGCGGCAGCAGGCTGTCGCGCAGCTTCACACCGCGCGGGCCCTCCGATGAGGATGCTCGTGGTGATGGTGGTGACGATGGCGATGACGATGACGACGACGATGCTGATGCTGATGCTGATGCTGATGCTGATGACGATGACGATGACGATGATGATGATGATGATGATGATGATGATGATGATGATGATGGTGATGATGATGATACTGTTAATGCTGATGATGATGCTGATGTTGCTGATGCTGATGATGACCATGGCGATAATGATGGTGGTGATGAGAATGATGGTGATGGTGATGATGCTGATGAAGATGATGGTGATGTTGGCGATGATAGTGATGCCGATAGTGATGATGATGACGATGGTTATGATGCTGATGATGGTGATGACGGTGATGATGAAGATGCTGATGCTGATGCTGATGGTGATGATGATGATGATGATGATGGTGGTGATGGTGATGGTGATGCTGACTATGGTAAAGGATGATGGTGATGCTGCTAATGATGATGACGGTGATGGCAATGCAGATGAATGACGATGGTGAGGATGCCGATTATGGCAATGGTCATGATTCACGTGCGGATGTTGAGGATGATGATGCTAATGCTGATGATGACGATGACGATGTTGATGAGTATGTTAATGGCGATGGTGATAGTCATGAGGGTAAGGATGATAATGATGACGATGGTGGTGATGATGATGAATATGTAGACGATGCTGATGGTGATGTTGTTGACGATGACGATGACGAGGTTGATGATGATGATCATGATCATGATGATGCTGATGATGATGATGATGATGATCATGATCATGACAGTGGTGATGGTGATGCTGGTGGTGGCGATGGTGACAGTGGTGGTGATGATGGTGATGATGACGATAATGATGCTGGTGATGACGGTGATGCTGGTTTTGATGATGACGTGTATGATGATGATGATGATGATGATGATGATGATGATGATGACGATGATGATGATGATGATGATGATGATGATGATGGTGCTGCTGATGATGATGATGGTGATGATGGTGGTGGTGGTGGCGGTGGTGGTGGCAGCGACAAAGGCGACAATGATGGTTGCGTCGATAGTGGTGGTCGTGACGAGGAGTAGGCTGCCTCATTGTCCTGGCGCTCTCCTTATCCCCCCCTAGGCGCAGGCCGGGAGGAGGGTCACGGAGGGCGTCGGAGCATCGCTCGGCACCGTCCGCAGCTCGAAGCTCAAAATTGCGGGCAAGATGCATACCCCATATCCGCTGCATCTTGGAGCTTCGGGCTTCTTTCCCCAGACACCCGAGGCACAGCGGGTATGGATACAGATCTGGCCCCGGAGGCTAGAATCTAATCCACATCCACGGCGCCTCGGCCTTCGGGCGCCCCTTTCCCAAGAAGTCCAAGACGCAGTGGACATGGATGTCAGTCTCGCCCGCACGGAGGAGGAGGAGCAGCAGTGGACAAGCCCGTCCTCGATCTCCGCCGCGGTGGACTTTCGATACACTACCGAAGAGGAAGACGCCTTGTTGTTCGGACGTTTGCGAGCGGGCACTTTGCGAGTGGTGGAGCGCGCCCGGGGCGTACGGAGGGATAGGCTGGTAAGAGCGGCCCGGCAGGCCGTGACCCCGCGAGCCGCCCGGGGAGCGGCGGGCAGGGCGGGCTGCGGCCGTCACCCACGCGCACGCAGCACGTGGAGGGGAGGGACGGGACGGATGGGGAGGGAGGGGTTCGGACGTGAGGAGAGGAGGGATGAGACGGATCACGGATCGGCGGCGAAAGAAAACAATCAAATAGAAAGCTCGGTGCGGGCGCGGCGAGCAGCACAAACAGCACCGTGGCGCACGGCTGCTGGCCCCTCTACTGAAGAAGAGGTCCTTCGTCGTGTGGAGCAGCTTGTGGGCCGTAATTAAGCCGCGAAGTCAAACCGATCCGCTCCCGGACCGATGACGGACGGATGAGACGGATGGGGAGGGATAGGCGGCGAGGGTTGGGATGGGGACGGATGCGGACGGATGGGGAAGAGTTTGGGGCATTAGGAGGCAGCTGCCGGGAGGTCTGCGTATGAACGGTTCAGGGCCTTTCGGCCTGATTGGGGGGCCACTTGAGCCAGATTGGCCCAGGTGGGGCCCACGATGAAGCTGGACTCGGCGGGATTGAACGGGATTGAGCGGAATTCGAGGGGCCGATGCTGGATTAGTGCTGGTTTTCGACCGCGGATATCCCAGCGCAGATTCTGATTGTACTCTCCCAGGAGTTGCATCCTGAGAGGATGGAAGACGGCTGAAGAGGGACGGGGCCAACAAAAACGACAACCTACTGAAACGCGACACGGCATCGGAAATAACATTCGGGGCCCCAATGACCTCGCATTCCCCAACGACCTCACCGCACGGTCCGTCACCGCACGGCTTTGGGACCTCGGAGGCCCCAATCACCCGAGAAGTCCTCGGAGAACGACCCGAGTTCCAAGAGACCATGCGACCACAAAGGTGTGGTCACCACACCATCTGGGGCCCCCGAAACGCGGGGGCGTCCGAAAGGGTGGCGTCCAAGAGGGGGGGGGTGCAACCCATGGCCCGAGGCATGTGCGCGGACCAGGGGGGGCCAGGGCAGGCATTGAATCAAAGAGAGGCGCCATGAGATCTGGAGATATATCGTGGCCCCAGCCATGATATCCACCCCCTAGTCATCCCCGCCCCTCCTGGCAGCCCCCGAGAAACAGCTGCCTCATGAAGAACGGCGCCGGGGAACGCAGCTGGAGCAAAAACTTCACGACTCTGTGCACTGCATCCCTCTCCCGCGGTCCGCCGCCGAGCCGCGGGCACCGAGCACGGAATGGGGGGTCCGCGGGTCCGCTCGAGTCGTCGTGCAGGGACTGAGTGTGAACAGCTGCAGAGGATGGAAGAAGAACAAACGACTCAAACATAAACTGTTGGTTGTCCGCGCGGATTTCTTGGATCTGCGCTGGACCCCCTGGCGGCGCCGCCCCTGACGCGCTCCGCGCGTCGATTTTCTCTTCTACGAGAGGAGCCCGAATGGCCAAGATACCCCAAGATGCCTCTGAGCCCTAACTCAGGCATGGCGGCGGGATGGGCAGAAGGCCGCCTGCATAGTCTTTCCACCTTTCTCCTCCTCTCTCTCTCTCTCTTTCTGCCTGCCTTCCCTGACAGGGAGTGAGAGGCATCGCATGGCCGCGCGTGCCGACACCACACGTGCCAACAGCTTGAATTGCCACTGCCTCTCTGAGCCAGGAGAGATCTGAGAAACGCCTGCCAGAATGGGGCGCAGAAGGACATACACAGGAGGCCAAAACAGAGGGACACGCTTAAAAGTCCATCTCTTCATCCTCGCTCTCCTTCCCCTTCCCCCTGCACATTACATATTAAGGGGGGCCTCGTCTGCCTCATCGCATTGTATCGCGTCGAATCAAATGATTCACGCCGAACCCTCGTCGAATCCCGCTCGATTCCACGTCGAATATGTGTCAAACCTACGTCGGGCACAAGAAAATACAGCCAGCTTCCCCCGAATGTGCAACGTAACCCTCTCCCTTCCACCTCCTCTGCCTCCTTGCTGGGTCCTCCAGCGACAACTTCATCTGCTCCACCCTCAGGCCCCTGTGCTGGCCAGGCAGCTCTGGGTGGCTGAGGGAGTAGGTCATCTCCTGCATCGACAGTGAGCAGGGCGAGGAGGAACAATATAAGCAGGAGGGAGGGGATCCTGGTGGGTCCTTTGGGTCTCGTTCTGTGGGGACTTCGAGGGTTCTGGGAGGTTCTAGCTCACCTCCGGCGCCGATGCTGAAAGTGGTCTGAGAAGGAGTCGAAGAACTCGAAGACAAAAGACGTGCTTCTGATGAAGGGGGTCGCCTTCCGAGCGCCTCGTGCGGAGCCGTCATCACCGCTGCTGGTTTTGACCTCAAGGCCCCGGTCAAAATGCGCTCTGGGACATGTCCAGGAATCAGTGGGAGGGAGATGGACGATATCATGTGCGGGGGAGAGGATGGACGAGGGCACAGACGAGTAGCACGGATGATTGATGAAATGACCGAATGATGGTGAACGATGGAACGATACTGGATGGGGAAACGTTCGATGAAGGGGAAATTTAGGATCCGGCTAATCGAAATTATGCATCCTGCTAGTCGGCCAAGTAACCGGCTCTCCCCGCAGGTACGCCACGTACAATGTTGTGCGTTCCAGGTGTCAGAGCCCTGAAAACAAAAAAAAACATCTCTAGTGCAGCAAACCGCGCCGCTGCCCGTCCTGTCGGGCGTTTTGCGCCTGGGATGCATGGCAAAGGTGGAGGACAATGGCGTAAAGAGCTCATGCCAAATCCATGATGGCACCCTGGGGTGCCATGTCCACTCCATGAACCCCCGATCTTGCCTCAAAACTGCTCCAACAAAAAATCGGCACCATCAAAACAAATGGGGTCCAACAGAGGACCGCTCTTTGGGCCGAAGTTGCACCATTGACCCGTGAATACGTATCATGCGGGGCGTGGGGATTGCCACTCTGTGAACACTTGACTAATTAAGAGGCCTCCGAGATGGGGTCGGAGTAGATGGGGTCGGAGGGTCGCGCCACATCGCCGATACATCGGCGATGTATCGGCGATGCATCGACGATGCACCGGCGATGCATCGCCGACGTCGGCGATGCATCGGCGACGTCGACGTGAAACCAATCGGGCCCCACATTGAACCGCAACGGCGATGCATCGGCGATACGGCGCGATCCTCCGAGCCCATCTACTCGGACCCCATCTAGGAGGCCTCGATACTTGGTCGAACTATTGACTCTTTCGCCCCGTGGGCGCGAGAAGGCGGCTCGCAGATGTCGACGCTCTCGTGAGGAGGAGGAGGAGGAGGGGGAGGAGGAGGAGGAGGAGTCCTTGCGCCTTACCCTCTTGCATGCAGGAAAATTCGCAACTCCGCAACACGGTGTTGCTACTCGCGCGAGCGGATTGCCTCTGCCGCGCCGCGACGGAAATAATGTTTGGGCATGAAGTCGCATCGACGTGCGACGCCAATTCGGAGGGGTGTTTTGAAAGCCATTAGGCCATGTTGGATCAAAATCGCACGTCCATGACCTCGACATCGCAATGTATTAAGGGCGTGTCCGCGCCGCCTGAAAAACAACAATGTTAGGAGGCGGAAGAATTGCAGGCTCGCTCACTCGCTCGCTATCTGCGCATGGCCAGTCCTCGAATCACTCGAAGCATCGGTGGACGAGTGGCGTTCGAGAGCACTGTGCTCCCGCCGATGCCAAAAATGATCATCATCATCATCATCATCATCATCACAATCATCAGCATCAGCATCAGCATCACCATCATCATCATCATCATCATCATCATCAGCATCATCATCATCATCATCACCACCACCACCATCATCATCATCATCATCATCAACAGCATCAGCATCAGCATCATCATCACCATCACCATCAGTATCACAATCACCATCACCATCATTCGCATCAGCATCATCAGGATCAGCATCAGCATCTGCATCAGCATCATCATCATCATCACCATCGGCATCAGCATCATCCTCATCAGCAGCATCATCATCAGGGGGGTGGCCTCAACCAAGCAGCCAGCTTGGGAACTCCCTGATTGCGGCACAGGATCGAGCAGCCTGTGCTATCTCCAATGAGGGTAAGAGCTGTACGCAAGAGCGGGAGACGAGAAGCGGTCTCCCTCGGCAGGATCGAGCGCTCGAAGAACTCCTTCTGCAGTCGCCTGGCACGGACGATATGGAGTCGGCCCGTCTCAATCCCCTTCCCCCCCTCATCCCACCCCTCCTCCTCCTGTTCGCCCTGGTCGTCACTCTCCTCCGCCTCTTCCTCGGTATGTCGCCCATCGCCTGCCTCGTCCAGATCAAGATCTTCTTCGCCCTGCCGTCCATCGCCCTCCCCTCCTCCTCCTCCTCTCCTCCTCTCCTCCTCCTCCTCCTCCTCCTCTCCTCCTCCTCCTCAGGTCCTCCTCTCCCTCCTCAGGTCCTCCTCCTCCTCCTCCTCTCCTCCTCCTCCTCCCTCGCCCTCCTCCTCCTCGCCCTCCTCCCCTCGCCCTCCTCCTCCCCTCCTCCTCCTCCTCCTCCTCCTCCTCTCAGCCTCCTCTTCGCCGTCCATCGCCCTCCCCTCCTCCTCCTCCTCCTCCTCCTCCTCCTCCTCCTCCTCCTCCTCAGGTCCTCCTCCTCCTCCTCCTCCTCCTCGCCCTCCTCCTCCTCCTCCTCGCCCTCCTCCTGCCCCACGCCTTTCTTGTCCCGCCCTCACGCATCCCTCGGATCAGGGCGAAGTGCTGGGCATGGGGAGGCATCACATGTGTATGTACATGCGTATATACATATCTATAAACATACATATCTATACATATGTATGTATGTATGTATCGTGGTGTATGTACACACGCGTACATAAGACTGCAGTGGCGTTTCGAGCCACGCACATTGGTCATTGAAATGTGGCACGCAGGCGGAGGGAAAGAACAGCAACATAGACTTTAGCGATAACTCCCTGTGGCCGTTTTCGAAACCGTCGTCATAGTACTATTCACGATCAACTTCCTCAATCTCGCCCTACTCTGCGAATTTTCCCCTATCCTCTTCAGCTCTTTTTGCGGAGGCTCCTCCGTGGAGAGCCTCGTATGGTCCTCACAAACATGTTTTAGGACTTGATTGGGGCCTTCTGGAAGCTTCCTGGGCGCCTTCTGGGGGCCTTCTTGGGCCACCCTGCTTCCTACCGCGGTATCCCTGAACGACCGGGTCACCATTTGGAATGCTTCGGGGGGCGTCATGGGGCTCTTCGGGCTACCTTGGGGCCCTATTGGGCTGTCTTGGGCCTTCTCTTGAACTGTCTGGAAGCCCTTTCGCGCAATTTGGAAACAACGTTCGGGCCTCCTGGGCGGCCTCGGACACCCGGAAGGCCAAAAAAACAGAGATTCCCCAGATCATACCCAAATCCATGGAAATCAATGTTTCTCTTGCGTTTGGAAGACCCCTGTGGGGTCTTCTATGGGTCGTCTTCGGGCGCCTGGTGGTGTCCAGGGCCTCGTGGGGCCCTCGAGGGGCCGTTCAGCCGCCCTCCTGACCGAATTGGGCCCGTTGCCCAGGCACAGCCAGGGGCTTCCAGGAGCTCTGGAAAGCCCAGGGAGCCCTCTGCAGGGTCTGAGGTGTGTGTGTGTGTGTGTGTTGTGTGCGTCTGTTTGTGACGTGTTGTTCCACTTCCCGGCTTGCAAAATAAAGGAAGGATGCTATGCGTGCATGTGCACAAGATTTGACCGCCTCGTTTTGCTTCGCATTTCAAGGTAGTCTTGATCACATGGCGCCAGAGAGGCGCGCCGCGTCGATAGTCGCCAGTATCGCGGTGCGCTTCGGCCATTGGGTCCATGGGGCACAAATGGCTGATGAGACACATGAGATCTTGCGGCTCAGAGGGCCTCGAAGCCTCTGCTCTCCGGGGACATTAGGGCTCAGGGGCTCGGCTGCGAAATTGGGAAGAGGGGTTATCCAGCAGGTGCAGCTCATGGCGGTCATGAGCATCCCAGGGCTCGCAGGTGTAATTGAATTCGTAGGGGTCATAGGGCTCATAGGGTTTATAGGCCTCATAAGGCTCAGAGGTCTCATGTGACTCATCAGGTCATAGGGCTTATGGGGCTCACATGAGTCACTCGGCGCTGGACAAACCTTCCTTGAATAAACCACCCTTTAGTGAAAACGGCCTGGGACCGACACTGACGGACCTGGAACCGCAAAAATGACGTCCGCGACGCCCTCTCGCGAACCGAAAAGGGCCAATTCGCTAATCGACGTGTCAGGGTAGGAGGTTTATCAACCTCCGAGTCATGGGCTCATAGGGCCCACAGGGCTCATCAGGCTCACAGCGTCACTGGGCTCACAGAGGTGAAGGGCTCACAGGGCTCACAGGAGACGCGGGCTCATGGGGATCATAGGGCTCATCGGGCCCCCTAGACTCACAGGGGGCGCTTTGGGCTCGCGCAGAGAGTCGTGGGACTCATAAGGCTCGCAGGAATCATGTGGTTCGGGGGGCTCTTGTGGTACATAACGTTCGTAGATATCGCAGGAGTACTGGGTTATGGGGAGTCTGGCCTCATGGGGGTCGTTGGGCTCGTAGGCCCATGCGGTCGTCTGGCTCATAGGCTCCACGTAAGTCATCGGGCTTGGGGAGGTCCGCGCGGCTCATGACGCCCGTAAGGCCGTGGGCTTAGGGCGGGGTGTGGGGCTCCTGGGTTCGCGGGGATCGTGGGGCGCGTTGGGTGCAGGAGGCTTGTGGGGCTACAATCGAGCCGCTGAAAGAAGGAACGCTAACCTTAGCAAGCGCCTCCGTGCCCCAGAAGGGCAAGACCTAAGGAACCTAAGGAACCCAAAGGAACATCGAGCCCCTTCCGAACCCAAACCCTTCCTTGTTTCAGCGTCCTGACTGTACCGTGACAGGCCGACGGCGAACGGAGGTAGGCATGGGGCGGGGGAATTCGGCACGAATCTTGCGATGCTGGTGCGAGCGAGGAGCGCCGGAGGCAGGCAGCGCTCGTGCACCCGGCGGGGCGCTTGCGCGCCTGGGGGGTTCCCAGCGGCCTCGTGGGCGCTCCGCGGCCGTCTCCGGGGCCAGCCGTGGGGGAGGGGGCTCGGCTCGTCCGTCGGGGTTGTGCCTCTCGGGGGCTTCTCGGGCAGTTCTTGTGGGCTTCGTGGGCCGACTGAGGATGTTCCTGGGACGTCTCTGGGCCTTGCTGGGCTGTCCTGAGGCCGTCCTGGGGTGATGGATGGATCCTCATGGGCCGTCGGGGGCGGTAGCAAGCTCCAGGAATCGAGAACGCTGACCTATGGCAAGAACCCGAAGCCAGATCAGTATATCTCAGCTTCTGGGGCTCTCGTGAGGCCATCCTCGGACTCTCGTGGCGTATCTTGGATGCCTGATGGGTCGTCCTGAAGCTGATTGGGCGTTTTGGAACGGCGTTGGGTCTGGTCCGTGCACCATGGTACCGTCTGTCTGGGGAACGATCCTGGGCCCGCCTGGGCAGTCGAAGAAGTCTGGGTTCGGCACCCAGCACCAAAAATCAGATTTTCTGGGCGATGGGAACGCCCAAGGGGGAATGGATGTACGGGGGAATCTACCGCGGTTGGCCGATACAAGTATTAGAAACACTGAATACTGTATACATCTACCTGGGAATGTTGCTTTTTGGATTCCGGGTAAGGGTCGTCAACCGGGGGAACGGGTTGAGCACCCTGGTAACGGTCACGCTTGGGCGGGGTGGGGTGCGTCGGGGCCGCCCCTCTATGTATGGCTAAGCGTACATCGGAGAGGGACGTTGGAACAAATAACTTGGCTGGCCCCGTGGTCCCCGCAGCAGCTAGCCAAAGAACTCGGCCCATGGAGGGTGGAGCTTCCGGGTTGGCCCCGCAGCCGTTTGGGAGGCCAGGGGGCCCGAGGGCTGACAGTTAAGAGCGGCGGGGATGACGGCCGCGGCACGCGACGAGGAGGAAGAGGCGGACGACGACGACGACGACGCCAGCGAAGACGACGACGACGACGGCAGCGACGACGACGACGACGGACGACGACCACGACGAAGACGACGGCGAACTAAGGATGCCCGATGGGGTGCGGGTGCTGCGTTGGCGTCTTGCAGTCCCGGGGGACGACGACGGACGACGGTCGTCGACGACGACGACGACGGCGGTGGCGAACTACGGATACACCAGTGGAAGGGGGTGCTGCGTAGGCGTCTTGCAACCCTGGGGGACAACGACGGACGACGGTCGTCGACGACGACGACGGCGGTGGTTAACTGCGGATACCCCGGGGGGGGGTGCTGCGTTGGCGTCTTGCAGTCCAGGGGGACGACGACGGACGACGGAGGAAGGAAGACGACGACGACGACAACGACGGCGGTGGCGAACTGCGGACACCCCAAGCGGGCGGGGTGCTGCACAAGCGTCTTGCAGTCCCGGGTGACGGTGCCGGACGACGGAGGACGGTCGACGACGACGACGACGAAGACGACGGCGAACTGCGGACACCCCATGGGGGGCGGGGTGCTGCCTGGGCGACTTGCAGTCCTGGGGGACGATCGACGACGGAGGACGGTCGACGGTGGACTGCGGATGGCACAGGGGGGGGGGTGCTGCGTGGGCGTCTTTGCAGTCCCGAGGGGCGTCGCCGGCGACGACGACGACGACGGCGACGACGACGACGACGGAGAACTGCGGATTGTGCTGCGCAAGCGTCTTGCAGTCCACGGCGGGGGGGGCGACAGACGACGACATCGACGACGACGGCAAACTGCGGATGGCAAGGGGTTGTGGGTGGTGTGTAGGCGTCGTGCAGTCCCCGGGGGGGGCGACGACAGATGACGAACACGACGACGACGACGGCTGACGACGACGCCGACGATGACGGGGAACCGGTGAGGCATATAGGGGAAGGTGTTGCGTAGGCTGCCTGCAATGTCCCCATGTGGCGACGGACGAGGGACGACGACGGCGAAATGCGAATTGCATATGGGTGTGTGTGTGTGTGTGCTGCGTTCGTGTCGTGCAGTCCCACGGAACGACGACGACGACGAAAACGATGGCCCGAAGACTGACAATTCGATGTGTAGTCCCGACTCCCTCCTCCTGCCTCCCCCCGAACCTACACCTGCAATGCGGGCCTGGCTGGTCCTGCTAGGAAGCGGCGAAGCAAGGGGGAGGGGACGATGCCACAGCAAAAAGAATTCTCGCCCTCCAGAATGATTCGCATATCCTCCGCAATACGACTTGCCCCTGGGGCACGGGAAGAATGTGCTTCCCCGTCTACCCACATCACCGTGACACGGGAGGTGGGGATTGGCCCAGGTAAAGGCCGTTACACGCGAGTGAATCAACAAACATCTCCCTCAAAGTGTATGTACAGATCTCTCTCTATCTATCTATATATGCAAAATAAAAGGAAAGAGCGAGACTGACAAAGAGAGAGAGAGAGAGAGAGATCGAGAGCGAGGGCGAAAACACCAAAGAAAGAGCGAGAACGCCCCCCCAACGACGGCGGCCCTCGCGGATCCACCGCGAGCGCCCCGACCCTCGCGACGACGACGGCGACGACGGCTGACGACGACGGCGGACGACGACGGCGGACGACGACGACGGCGACGACGACGACGAAGACGACGGCGACGACGACGGCGACGACGACAACGAGGACGACGGCGACGACGACGACGGCGACGACGACGACGGCGACGGCGACGACGGACCCCCCCGCGGCGCGCTGTTGGCGCCTGTTGCCCAGCGCCCCGTGGGCCGCCGCCAGGCCCGCGAGGGCGGCGGCCACCTCTGCGCGGCGGCGCGGAGGCGCCTCGAGCGGCACCTCCGCGGCGCCGATCTGTGGCCCAAAGCCCCTGCAAACGGGGCGTTGGCTTGCCGTCGCTCGGACGTCCGAGCGATGCCAAGTTAGCCAACGGAGCGGTCGCTAAGGGGCCTATGCAAGCGAGACCGGGGCGACAGGGCATCTACCTTGCACTAGGGCGGGATAATTCGAGGCGACGAACAAAGAACGTCGATGCATCGCCATGACTCTGGGCGGGGGGATTTCCCTCGCACTTGTGGGCTTGGCCAGCGCGCTTCGCGCCCAAGGCGTTCTCGCTGTTTCGGTTTCCTGGCGCTCCAGGACTGCCCAAAAGGCCACCAAGATCGCCACATGACGGCCCGAGAGGCATCCAAGAGGGCCCCAAACCGGTCCAACAGGGGCCAGGGATTGAGTAGGGGATCGACTACATAATCTATTTACTCCAAAATTGATTTCCCGTCGAATCTACGACAAAGACGTAGAATGCGCAGTGGATCTACGGACTGTTATACGTATTTGTCTCGTGGGTTCGACTAGAAAATCAACTTTGGGGTAAATCGATTCTGCAGTCGATCCTCTAGTCGAATGGACGGGGGTCCAGCGCCGACCCAAGAAATCTACCAGAAGATGAACCAGCTGCATAGGCATCAATTCCGAAACTCCGAAAGGAATTCTCGGATCCGCGCTGGAACCCCCCTCCCCTGGCCGCGGAGCGCGTCAGGGGCTTCGCCAGAGGCGCCACCAGGGAGGTCCAGCGCCAATCGAAGAAATGAGCGCGGACCTCTGAACGTTGATGTTTATGAAATGTTTGCTCGTCGAGAAGCGGGGGGGGGGGGGGGGGGGCAGATCGTCTGGCGCGGGCGACTGGCAAGGGAGCGGTGTTCCTCGGAAACTCTTTGCAATCTTCGGCGCGACGGCAGCCGCTTCCCGGGCTTTAGGGAGGGGGTCCGCCGGCAAGACGGCTCGGGATTGAATAAACGCCTGTCTCTGGGACGGGACCGCGAACTCTCTGGTCCAGGGATCCAGAAGCTGGACCATGTACCTGCATGCAGGGAGGGTGCGTGGCGAGGCCCGAAGGGAAATCTGGGGCTCACGCAGGTCACTCACTTGCACCAGGCCTAGACCTAAACGCTGTTTATCGTTGTGTTGTCGTTGTGTGCTTCGTTTTGCTCTAACTGTTCTCCTGTACCTCCCTGCCAAGACGAAAAACAAAACACAGCCGAAGTCCGGCAAAACAGCGTCTAGGTCCAGCCCTGTGTCACTCACTTGCACGCCGTTTCGGCCCAGCGGTGTTTGAAAAAGGCGGCGGAGGGCAGGAGCGGTGACACACATCCGCACATCCGCGCCCTCGCGGTCTGCAATTCGGGGCGCGCTCCCGCGGGGACGCGCAGCCGCACAAAGACGTTCCGCGCGGGCCATCCGCGGAACAGCGCCCCACGTCCGCGAAGTCGCGGCCCAGGGGCCCGGCCCGCGAGGCCGCAGGGACGGATCTGTTTTTCCCAACCATCCAATGGTTTTGTGTCCTCGTTTTGAAGAGACAGCGCCCCGCGTCCCACCTCCTCCTCTCCTCCTCCCCCTCCTCCCCTCCAATCACCATCATCACCATCATCGTCACCATCATCGCCATCATCACCATCATCACCATCACCATCATCATCATCATCATCATCATCATCATCATCATCATCATCATCATCATCATCATCATCATCATCATCATCATCATCATCATCCCCTCCCCTTCCCCACACCATCGTCACCATCATCACCATCTCTCATCATCCATCAGCATCACCATCTTCAGCATCATCCTCATCCACATCATCCTCATCATCGTCATCATCGTCCCCACCGCCCATGTCGTCACACCCCTCACACGGTTCGTGGCCCCATAGGGAGCTCCACCGAAGGCCCCAGTGGCACTGTCCGCATGCGTCTTCCCCGCCCACCGCAGGCCCATTTCGGCACGCCCCTCACACGGTTCGTGGCCCCATAACGAGCTCCACCGAAGGCCCCAGTGGCACAGTTCGCATGCGTCCTCCCCGCCCACCGCAGGCCCATTTTGGCACACCCCTCACACGGCTCGTGGCCCCATAGGGAGCTCCACCGAACGCCCCACAAGGGGGGTCCGCATGCGTCCTCCCCGTCCACCGCAGGCCCACTTCGGCACGCCCCTCACACGGCTCGTGGCCCCATAGGGAGCTCCACCGAAGGCCTCAATGGCACAGTTCGCATGCGTCCTCCGTCCACCGCAGGCCCATTTCCGCGCACCCCTCACACGGTTCGTGTCCCCATGGGGAGCTCCACCGAAGGCCCCAGTGGCGTAGTTCGCATACGTCCTCCTCGCCCACCGCATGCCCATGTCAGCACATCCCTCACACGGTTCGTGGCCCCATAACGAGCTCCACCGAAGGCCCCAGTGGCACAATTCGCATGCGTCCTCCCCGCCCACCGCATGCGCATGTCGGCGCACCCCTCGCACGGTTCGTGGTCCCATAGGGAGCTCCACCGAAGGCCCCAGTGGCACAGTTCGCATGCGTCCTCCTCGCCCACCACAGGCCCATTTTGGCACACCCCTCACACGGTCCGTACACAGTGCACCAGCACCGTATGCACCACAGTGCTTCTGTGCACTGTGCACGACAGCGCCTGCGTGCACAATTGCGCTTGCGTGCACCGCAATGCCCGCGTGCAAAAAGCAACCAAGGGCACCGCAGCGCTTTTGTACACCACCGTTCCTGCGTGCACCACATTATCTGTGCGAGCTCGGCCTGCGCATCCCCATGCCTGCGTGCACCAGAACGTTTCTGTACACCACCTGTTGCGGCAACAGCAACGGCAACAAACCGTGTGCCCCACGAGGACCCCGTGTTTGCGTGCACCTCTCGGGGCGTCCGGGCCACGTCGGTCGTCGTCATCGTCCTCCTCCTCCTCCTCCTCCCCCTCCTCCTCATCCTCCTCCCCCTCCTTCGCCCCCTTATGTTCCTCCTCCTCCTCCCCCTCCTCCATCTCCTCCTTCTCCTTGCTCCTCCTCATGGCCTCCCCCTCCTCCTCCTCCTCCCTCCTCCTCCTCCTCCTCCTCCTCCTCCTCCCCCTCCTCCTCCCTCTCCTCTTCCTCCCCCTCCTCACCTCCTACGCAATTCCTCCTCCCTCCTCCTCTTCCTCCTCCTCCTCATCCTCCTCCTCATCCTCCTAGTCCGTCTCCTGCTGCTGCTGCTCCTTCTGCTGCCGCTCCTCCTCCTCTTCCTCCTCCTCCACCACCTCCTCTTCGGGAAACTGCATGCGTTCACGCCTGTAGCCAATTTCCCCGCCTCACCGTTACGTGGGGGGGGTCGGGGGGGGGGCAACACGAATCACGTCCAGAAATAATGGAAGACCGATCTCCGGGCGCGTGGGGCGCCCTTGGGAATTTGGCAACGCTTCATGGGGGGGATAAGTGAAGGGGGAAGACAGGTGCCCTTTTCGGGCCCCACAGGCCTTCCTCTGGGCCCTACAAGGGCTCCTTGAGGGGCCCTGAAGGGCCCCTTTGCTGCAGCCCTCGCTACTCCCCCATGCAACGCCCCCCCAGTCCGCGCCATCCAAGGGGAACGGGCGCCAGCGCGATCGGGAGTGCGCGGAAGGCCCCGGCACGAAGAAGCCAGAGGAAGGAAATAATATGTGAGCACAACCTGTCAGAGCACCGCACGGATTTCTGGGAGCCGCGCTGACCCCCCCCTCACTGGTTCGCGGAGCGCGCCAGGGGCGGCGCCGCAGGAACCGCCACGGGGTCCCAGACGCCGATACAAGAAATCCGCGCGGAGCGCCGAAAGTTTATGTTTACGCAGCCTGTTCTCCTTCGAGAAGCGTGAACATAAACCTTGGACAACGCGAGTGTCCGAAACCAGTTTCGGCACGCGGGGACCAGCTCAGGGGGGGAAACATCGACCTGGAGTCGGCGATGCATCGCGGATAGATCAGCGATATGCCCCTGATAACGAATCCGCACGCTCGTGGGCGGGGTGGGGCTATCAGACCCCTATCGACGATCAATGGGCGATTGGGGGTCGATGCACTCCCTCCTGAGCGTATCTCCCCTATCGTTGCCCCTGGCTTAGCTCGATGCGTCTCTTCGCAGTCCCGCAGCGAGGCGGGAATGTGTACACCACCTCCAGCTTAGTGGTCGATCTTCGGGGACATCGGCAGGCGGTGAATCTGAAAATGGCGTTGCTCGAATGTCAAAATCCACCGCCTGCCGAGGTCCCCGACGATCGATCCCTTAGGCGGTGATGATGGATAAATCCCCCCCTCAGACCCAAGTTCTAACAACAGCACCTCTTGTCTAAAAGTCGCCTCGGAGTTTCGCCGTTCGAGGGGCCCGCAGCTCGGCTCCAGCACCAACACTATCGGGGATCACAATCGCCTGGACGAGCCGATCCTTCACATTAGTGACAATGGTAATCTTCAGGCCACCTGCGGGCGTCTGAAGAAGATCATCAACACCACCGAGGTCGGAGGACATCTTCAGTCGGTTAGAGGAAAAGAACATCATACAGTCAACATGAGCTTTCGGAACTCCGCGCTGACTTCTTCGATCGGCGCTAGACGCTAGACCGCCCTGGCGGCGCCTCCGGCGCAGCCCCTGGCGCGCTCCGCGCGCCAGAGACGAGGTGCCCAGCGCCGATCGAAGAAACCCGTGCGGAGCCCCGAAAGCTCATGTTCACGTCGTTTGTTCGTCCTCTGGTGCAGGCGAGCGCCGACATCAATGGTGCATGCTCCTAGAACCCCCGCTTCGGGCCCAGCTCGGAAGGTCTCTGGCCTCCCGAGCAGCTTCCCAAGCCTTTTCCAAAGACGGAGACAATTTCTCGGAAGGCCAGAGGGCTTCGGAGACGCCCCGCCGCCTTCTGAGAAGGCCCGCTCCCTTCTCCTGGGGGAGCCAAAAGTTCCCCCGGACCCCTCTCCCGGGGCGCGCTCTGACCAGGCTTTCGAGGCGACTCCAACGATGGCGCCGCGGGCCTCCCGGGAAGCCCCAAAACGGGGAAAACGGGCGAAGCGTAGCGGTATCGCTACCTTTTCTGAATTTTGATCGGCGGCCTCTGGTGGCGGCGGCACGTGAGGGTTCGACACCGACCCCCGCGCTGCGCATCGGCCTCCGGCGGAGCCTTCGGTGGTCCTCGCGAGGGCCTCCAGCGGTGGTCCCAGAGGTCTGTGCAGAAGCGCTGGGGAGGCTGGCCTCACAAGCACCGAGCACCACCAGCTCCACGCCCCCTCGCGGTCTGGATTCCCGGGGCACGCTCCTTCTCCACCTCCTCCTCCTGCTCCTCCTCCTGCTCTTCCTGCTGCTCCTCCTCCTCCTCCTCCTGCTCCTCCTCCTGCTCCTCCTCCTGCTCCTCCTCCTGCTCCTCCTCCCCCTCCCTCCTCCCTCCTCCCCCCCCTCCTCCTCCTCGTCCGCCTCCTCCTCCTCCTCGTCCTCCTCCTCCTCCTCTTCCTGCTCCTCCTCCTCCGTTCTTTCTCCTTATAGATAATTCCTCCCTGTCGCACCCCGAGGCCAATTTTTTAGGGCGGGCCGGGCGTTTCGCCTGAGATTTCCTCACCATCTATGGCTCTGAAGATTAGAAAGTGGCAGCAATTTCACAGATGGAGGGCGGGTCCTTTTCAAAATGTGGCTCTCGCCTTAGCGCCGCGCACATTCGTTATCAAACAAATTGCAAAAGCTTCACGGATTGAGGGCGGGTCGTTTTCAAAAAGTGGCTCTCGCTTTAGCGTCGCGCACATTCGTTTTAAACATTTGCAAATGCTTCACGAATTGACGGCGGGCGGTTTTCAAAATGTGGCTCTCGCCTTAGCGCCGCGCACGTTCGTTATAAAAAATGCGAGAGTTTCACGGATTGAGGGCAGGTCGTTTTCAACATGTGGCTCTCGCCTTAGCGCCGCGCGCATTCCTTGAAAACATTTGCTTGAAAGAGCTTCACGGGCTGATGGCAGGTGGTTTTCAAAATGTGGCTCTCGCCTAAGCGCCGCGCATTTTCGTTTCAAACGTTTGGAAGAGTTTCACGGATTGAGGGCGGGTCGTTTTCAAAAAGTGGCTCTCGCTTTAGCGTCGCGCACATTCGTTTTAACAATTGCAAGGGTTTCACGGATTGAGGGCGGTTCCTTTTCAAAATGTGGCTCTCGCCTTAGCGCCGCGCACATTCGTTATCAAACAAATTGCAAAAGCTTCACGGATTGAGGGCGGTTCCTTTTCAAAATGTGGCTCTCGCCTTAGCGCCGCGCGCATTCGTTCTAAGCAGTTGGAAGAGGTTCACGGATTCTCATGATCAGCGTACCAAAAATTGTGTTTTGGACGGATTCGGGATCACACGGGTGCAACGGGTGCAACAATTATGTTGATTCGCGGTGTCGAAATGCCAAAAAAGGCGTTTTGGCACGATTCCGGATCGTCAAAACGCAGCAGTCAGGTTGATACGTGGCGTTGAATCCCGAGAACAATGTTTTGGCATTCTTCAGGATCTTCAAACGGGTAGCTTCCAACGAGGCTGTTCCCTCAATGGAAATGAACCGTTGTAGGGGCCTATGAAGACAGAGCTTGGAGGGAGGGTTATTCCAACATCGTTGATGACTCTTGGGTTTACGCTGGTCCTCCTCCTCCTCCCCGACCTCCTCCTCCCTTCTCCCTTTTCCCTCCTCCCTCCTCCCTCCTCCATCCTCACTCCCCTCCTCCCTCCTCCTCCTCCCTCCTCCTCCTCCTCCTGCTCCTCCTCCTCTTCCTCCTCCTCCTCCTCCCCCTCCTCCTGCTCCTCCTCCTCCTGCTCCTCCTCCTCCTCCTCCTCCTCAGCCTCCTCCTCCTGCTCCTCCCCCGCCTCCTCCTCCTCCTCTCTCCGATCCCATGGATACGCGGTCGCAAGGACACGTTCAATGCGGGGCATCCGCGACAACACGTCCCGCATCCGCAGGGTCGTGGCCCAGGGGGGCCAGGTGCGCGAGGCCGCGGGTACGGATGATACGTTTTTCGCCCACGATGGGTGCAGCCGAACGGACCTCGTGCGGCGTGAGGCCAGGAGGCGAGAGAACCGCATGACCGATCGCCTATGGGGTGCCCTCGCATGCGTGTCCAGGGGGAGGGCGTTTGTGTAGGAGCGCGCAGGGCCGTGGGAAGCAGGGCCATGTGCATTCTCCGCCCCCTCCGTCCCACTGCTCTGTCCTGGCTCCCGTCCTTCTACCGCCCCCCCCTCCTCTCCTCGCCCTCCTCAATCTCAAGCTCCCGCTCCTCTTCCTCCAACCAGCCCTGCCCCTACCCCATTCCCACCCGTTCTACCTTCCCTGCCTCTTCTCTGTCCCCCTGCCCTTGGTTCTTCTTCCTCCGTCGCCTCCACCTAGACCTCCACTACACCCTGCGAAATGCTTAAGAAATCATGGGTTAAGAAATTCATAGTCTCAGAACTTGAATAGAAACCCAACATTTCTATTAAAACCTTAGGATTTACATTGAAACATTAAGAATAATCGAGACTCTGGCCGAAGATGTAAGTTTTCTTAAGCATCGCCTAAGGTGCACCATCGCTTTCACCTCCCGCCTCCACCTCCAAAGCCCCAGCCCCTCTCGGCGGCTCAGAGCTGTGGGCCCGGCGGGACGTGGCCCCGAGACCGCGAACCTCAAACAGTCAAGGCTCAACTCGTGACAGATCTCTCACCAGGGCCCTATCCCTCTGGGCCCCATCTTCTGAACCGCCGACCTCCTCCTCCATCGCCTCCTCCTGCACCTCCGCCTCCGGCGCCCCTCCACCTCCTGCCCCCCCCCCCCGACATCACTCATCGGGGCACCTGGGCAAGGCACCACCTTGCCATCGCTCGGACGCCCATCCCCAATGCATCGTTCGCCCTCGTGCGACTATGTGTCTGTGAAATGACCCAAGGTTTGAGCAGGGACCGACCGTCCCGGCATTCCTGTAGTCCTACAATGAAATGTTCTTAGAGCCCGCAAATTTTCTAAGAACAATAACATGTTCTGGGAACGTAAACCCGATATGGTAAAACAGGACAGTCCCAACCAGACATGTTCTAAGAGCATTTCGTGGGCACCACAAAAGGTTCTTAGAGCATTGTTTGGTAGGGCTATAGGTACGCCAGGACGCTTCGCCACTGCTTGAAAATTACCCAGGATGCTCCTCGAGGGCCCTCGCCGAAAATACATACACGCGCCCGAGCAATGCCAAGCCACCATCCCGCGGCCGCCGTCGACGCCGCCTGCGGGTGGTTCTGGCCGTGTGCCCTCTCGAGCCCCTCCAGCGCCAGCTGCAGGAGGGGCAGCCGCTCGGAGGCCTCCGAGGCCACTGGCGAACCCCTCCTCCTCCTCCTCGTCCTCCTCCTCCTTCTCCTCCTCCTCCTTCTCCGCCTCCTCCTCCTCCTCCTCCGCCTCCCTTTCCTCCTCCTCTTCCTCCTCCTCCGCCTCCTCCTCCTCCAGAAGCCGAGCACCGCCCCCTCGAGGCCCGTGCACAGCGCTCGGGGAGGGCCCGGGCGGGCGCCCGAGCGGGCACTATAGACTCCCACCAGGGGGGCGGTGGCAATCGGACCCCCGACCCAGGACCCCGAAGGAGAATGAGAAGGAGGAGGAGGAGGGAGGAGCAGGAGGAGGCGGAAGCGGAGGAGGATGAGGCGGAGGAGGAGGAGGAGGAGGAGGAGGCGGAAGAGGAGGGGACCCCCCCCCCAGCGGGCCCGAACAACTGGGGCTTTCTCGGCGGCCCGGCGGGCTCGGGGGCCAAGCATGGGGGAGCCTCAGGATCGGCGGCTCACCTTGACGACGGCGACAGGACGGGAGCCGATGTTGCGGTGATGGCGGTGGGCGCTGGGATGCCGTTCATCCGTTGCCCTCCCGGCCCCGTCCGCCGCTGTTGCCCTCATCCGCACAACCTCCCCCTTGTGGTGTCCGTGATCCTGCTCCTCTGTCTCGCTCTCCTCTCAGATCACAGGCGCACTCCTTCTGAACGTCCTCCCTCAGTCACTCCAACCCCTCCTGCGAGGGAATCGTCCCCTGTCGACCACCTCCCCCTCCTGCTCCTGCTCCTGCTCCTCCTCCTCCTCCTGCAATGTCGCTTCCCACCGCGAAGCCACGACCCACTCACCTCGCCATCGCTCGGACGTCCATTCCATGTGCTGTTTGGGCTTCGTGCGCGCAACTGCTCATAAGGAGGTCAAAATGATCCTCGATGGTCTCGCAGAGAAGCCGAGCGATGCCAAGTCAAACCACGACATCGGACACCGCGTCGCCGCGGCACCGTCGGCGGCTGCTCCTCTCCATCCCTCGCCCACGTCCTCCTCCCCGCAGAGGCCCGTGCTCACTCGCGTACACATGCTCCAAGCACCACCACCATGGGCACCAACTGATGAGAGGGCAAAACGGCCTCACACCCTTAGAGGATGCTGGCCCACGCCTCGCGATCTGAAGGCGCGCTCCAACATGGGCGCGGGTTCTCGGACCCTGAGGGGGGCTTCTGTTGGAGCGGGAACCCCATGTGTTGACAACGCACACCCGTAATTAGCCCCCTCCCGCTAGGTATTGGTACAAGGTGTCAGCTCATGACCTGTGCACCTGTAGTTGCGCCTCCATGACCGCATGCCCAGACACGTGCACATGCAACACGCAACGTTGCCAACGATCCGCGTCGCTCCCAGAGCGTTGATAGGTGCTGTTGCCAGCGTGGGCCCCAGTATAAAACTCGTCGCAAGACGACCCGAACCCTATGGGCAACAACAGGACATCACAACGCATAAGGCCACCAAGGACTAAGAGACTGTGGGCACCGACCAGGGCAGCGTAGACATCAAGGCAAGAAGGGCCCGAAGGGCCCCGATGAGCGGCGACCAGAAAATCGCGCTGGGAAGACCTGAGGGCGCTGACCATGAAGTCGCAGCCAACAAGGCCAGCGTGACAAGATGGCCCTATGTGTCGCGACAAGGACATCGCAACCAGACATGCCAGCAGGCCAGGCATGCCAGCAGGCCATGGGCGACGACTTGACAACGCAACATACAAGATCCGCGGGGCCTGGAGACGGACTTGCAATGGATGTCGTGGGGAACGGGAAACATGTTTTAACATTGATGCGTCGACTCTAGACATTTCACACTACAACCATCCATCCATACACCTATATAGCAACCATTTGGTACAATGTATTCACTCATCCGTCCGTTCAGACATCCAAGACGCTATCGACCAAGACTTGCCTCACGCATGGCACATTTTGGCTCGCAATTGGGCTGCATGTGACTGGCAAAACACCCAGGTGTGGATAACCCTTGCGCTATCATCTACACGGCATTCACCCGCGATGGGCAAAAGCACCACTCATGGTTCGCAACTGCCTCACACATGGAATGCCAGATTCAATACGTGCATCGCGTTACGGCGGCAACGCAAACAAGCGATCCACACGTTAATCAAACTGATAGCACTTAGAAGGCACACATTTAAGTCGCAATTGGCTTTCGATTTGCGACTGAATCGAAAACTGTTCAAGCTTGATTCGCACAAGGATCACGTGGCAATCGGTCCCTACCCTAACAGCACGAACTCTTGGCATGACGACACCGCGAACTTGCCACACCACGAGACCACGAGAACACGAGACCAAGGCAACGTGATAACGCGACAACACGACATGTTGACCCACAATATCCGGGAATGCACAGCAAACAGCCGAACATGACCACACCCTTGGTCCACGACCTGTCCACAATTGGCTCCCAACTACATTATCAATTGATCCATCTTGGATTCGCAATCGATCCAAACACAAATAACTTGGCGTTTCGATGACGGCGGCGCTGGCTTCTGAAACCTCGTGGCAAGAATTTGATTACAAACGGGGTCCGAAACGTTGAGGGGGTGGCTCTCGCACACAACCTCGCCTCCGCTTCGCACGGCAGAAGTTGCGAACCTACGATGTCTCTCGATCGTGAACGCTTCACCAGCGAATTCACGCCCCGATCACTCAGCCTTCCATACTATGTAGCCCACGTGAGCAAACACAATCTTTGAACCCATCAGGTATCCGTCACCGCGCCTGCGCCTGCCACATCGCTTGCCCGAAATCCCAACGATTCCCCAGAGGATCCTGGATGCCGAGGTGACCAACGACGCCCCAAAGTGGGGCCCAAGGGGGCCCTGTGCGAGGCCCAAGGCAACGAACGCATCACGATTGTCGGATGCTTTGCCCCTGAGGCCTTTGGGCTTACAACTGCATCGGGAAACGTTCAGAAAGCCTGAACAAATCCCTGAGACGGCACAGCATAAGCGCCACGGGCGCAGGACGACCCCAGGACTGCCTGAGAACTCACTAAGACGGCCCAGGAGGTTGACGAATCAAGCTCCTCCGAGGGATCTCGGTGGAAACATCGCGTCCAAAGCGGGCTCGGGATTCCCCAGGGGTGCCCGGCGGGCACCCAACTGGCTCCCAAGAGATCCCTTCTCGGATTTCATGGATCGGCACTGGACCCCCTCCCTGGCGCGCGGAGCGCGCCATGGGCGGCGCCGCAGACGCCTGCAGGGAGGTCCAGCGCAGCTCGAAGAAATCAGCGCGGAGCTCCGACTGTTTATTTGTATGCTGTCGTGTCGTCTGCGAGCATCGTAGTGACAATGTGCGTTTGCGGGCCTGATGCCGAGGAATCCTTCCCTGGAGTCTGTTTGAGATGGCTCAGTGTTAAACTCAGCAATGCAGATGAACTGGCCGAGAGGCGAAAATGATCACTGGCTAAGTACCACGCGGAAGCCGATGCACCCCGAGCCTTGGAGCACTGCGAGCTCGATGCCAGTTGGTGACACAACACGTAATCATAATGCGAATCATGAAAATAACGACGGTCACGCCTCCTCGCACGCGATGCCGATCCTCGCGCGGGTAGCCGATGCCTGACCGCCAGGCAGCACACGCGTCAAACGCACAATATCACAAGCGGTCCAAAAGCATGTCTGTCGTGGTGTGGGTGGGCTCCCTTGCTGGTGCGACACCCGACAATGTCATTTCCACGCAGTCTACGCTAAGCACGCGATGCGGCTGGCCACACACATATGCACGACATTGCGACGATCTGGAATCCAGCCAGCAGGGTCAACAATCACGTAAAGGTATGTATCCATACTTGACAACGTGGGGCTATGTCCTGAGGCACGCATCTGGCCATGAGATCCACGCTGCAGCGGCTGGCGTGTCGAGCCCCTATGTATTTCTCATCATGTTGCCAAGGGCCAAAGGCCCCCCACCCCCAAAAAAAGATCGAGCCGAACATGCTAGCACACATTCGTTCGTTTTGGCCCAACGTCCCTGAATAATTTATACGATATATGAGTACAGCACCTAATGTCTGCGCATTGCCTTTCGAGAAGCATTCCGCCCAACGCGCCCCCCCTCCCTCCCGCTCCCACACACGCCAACATCCACACACACACCACACTCACACTCACTCACCTTCACACACACACACACTCACACGCACACGCACACATACACACACTCACTCACTCTCTCAGACACGCATAACACACACACACACACGCATAACACACACATGTGCATAACACACAAACGCACACACATTCACTCTCCGTAATCCCCCCCTGACAGCCCCCCCTCCCGCTGACCCTAGCGCTCACGCCCACCCACGGCGCAATGGTTGCGGATACCAACAATTCGGGACACTTCGGACACTTCCTGAGGTGTGTTCTTAGCCAAAACTTCGGGACAATTCCAGCGTTTCAGACAAGACGCCTGCAAGAAACTCAACCGGGCACCACAATCGCCAAAATATCTCGCACCAAGAGATCCGGGTACACCAAACGCATCACGCCACGACAATCACCCGGCGAAGCCGTTGCGGGATCCCCAGGCATCTGACACCCTGATGTTTCCATGCGAAGGTCCTATTCCTTGACTCTTGACGCATACATGGGAAGTGATTGTCGTCCAAGACCGTCGGGACGTAGGCACCATTGAGAGCACGTGATTCCTATGCCTGATCTGCTTAGCTGAGCTAGGTGAGGCCCGATATTCACAAACATCAAGCCGACATCATGTCATCCGCCACCGTGCCTTGGGCACCAAGTGGAGTGCCCCAAGGCAATGGCCGGTCTGCCGGTAGATGGCTTGTAAGTTCTGACGGGCCCAGACCCTCGGTTTCCCAGGCGCTCTTGGGCGTGGCCGCGCCCTACTGTCGGGGAGACGTAAGACCCGGGTACGGGGGACTCGGGTTGGCCCGACGAGGTCGTCAAAAAAATGACGAGGCCGAGCCTGCATTTTGACGAGGCCTCCCGCTGCAGACATCCCACGAAACTCCTCCTCGTCAAAATCCGAGGCGCGGTCGTGTTTCGCGTGGGCTTCCGGGCCAGTGACCTCGTCAAACCGGGCTCGGAAACGGGCGAACAGAACGCCGAGAATCTCCCAGAACTATCCGCGGGGCCTCCCAGACGGCTCAAGAGAGGCCCAAGAGCCTTCCCAAGAGGGACCTGAGAGGCCAGCAACATTATTGATCCTTCGGTGTTTCATTATGTTTTGGGGGCTCTCCACATTTCTAACTCCCGACGCTCTAAGATGTCCCAGGAGGCACCCCAAGAGCGCCCCAAGACGGTTATAGAGGCTGCCAAGGATACCCAAAGACGACCCCAAAGGGCCCAAAGGCGGCCCCAGACACACCCAAGACGGCCCCAGAGCGCCCCGAGACGACCCCAAGAGGGGCCCCAGCGGGGGAAGACAAACCGAAAATCAAAGTCCTAAGCCCCAAGAAGCGCCTGGGAGGCGCCAAGACGATAACCAAGAGGCACCCAAGAGGCAAGAAGCCCAAGAGGGCCCCAAGAGACCCAAAAGAGCATCCCAAACAGCCCCAAACTGGCCACGATGCCCCCAGATTGCCCACAACACCTCCAAGCCGCGCCAAGATGCCCACGAGAGTACTCCCTAGGGGACTCCAAGAGAAAACATGCATAAATTGTCTAAAAAGGTTGCCAGGTTTTCGCATCCGCACTTTTTCGGCTTCCCGACGCTCCAGCGAATTAGAGGAAGACGGCCCAAGAAGCCTCCGAAACGCTGAACCCTCCTACTACCACATTCGAGACGGCCCTGACGGGCCCCAGGAGGGCCCCAAGTCGGTTCATGCAGGCCCCAAGACATGTTCGTTTTGACCTTCACGGCTTCACCACATCAGCCGAAACAAGCTCCCACCTCCAAAACGAGAGGCCTCCTAGATGGGGACCGAGTAGGTGTGTCGGAAGATCGCCGCGCATCGCAAATGCATCGGCGATGCATCGGGGACGTCGGGGACGCATCGGCGTCGTCGGCATGGAGAAAAGCGGGCTCCGCATCGAGCCGCATCGCCGATGCATCCGCGATGCGGCACGATCCTCCGAACCCATCTAGTCCGACCCTGTCTAGGAGGCCTAGAAAGAAGGCTCCGACGCGCTCCAAGAGGGTCAGAAGTCGATTCACTCAGGCTCCCAGGACAACTCCCGATGGCGTCAGACAAGCCTGGAACAGTTGGCCCCCAATAGGAAGGGGGCTCCCACTTGAGACGTCCTCGCAATTAACTCACTGGCGAGGCTCCCGTTCGAGACGTCCTCAAGACTCAAGCCTCAGGAGCCCAAGAGCGACGACGGGTACAGTTTTTCGGATGGCCGCCTCGGATGAAGATCATGAAGTGCGGGCCACATAGGGGGGGCTCCCGCCTCAGACTTCGTCGCTATTCAACCTCACGCGAAGCTCCCGCTGGAAACTGCCTCAATGCTAATGTGTGGTTGAGTGCGTGATTGCATGTGTGTGCGACAATTATGATGGTGACGGTGATGACGGCAATGATGTTGTGAGTGTGTGTGTGTGTGCGTGTGTGGGTGAGTGTGTGTGGTGAGTGCGAGAGCGTGGCGGCGGTGATGGAGATGGTGTTGAGGATGATGCTGATGGTGATGAGGATGAGGATGGTGATAATGATGATGGTGATGGAAATGATTATGCGAGCGTGTGATTCAGAGAAGACGGTGGCGCGTCTTTACCGTGTTCCTTCTGGATAGCTACGTTGCTCATGTGATATATGACAGCTACGCTGCATATGTATACAGTTATATAAGATGGAGTCAAGGACTGGTTGATCTTGGCCTGCACGTTGGTCTTTGAAGTTTGGCATGCAGGCGGAATGACAAGCAGGTCAAACCAACAGTTTAGCGATAACTCTTTGCTGCCTTGTCTGACATCGCCGTTCTACTAATATTACTCGTGATTATTCCTCCATGTTTGTTGTTCCTCATTCTCGCCCTACCTTGAGAACTCTTTTTGCGGAAGCTCCTGCCTGGAGAGCCGCTGGGGGCCTCACGGAAGTGTTTCAGGCATTCTTCGGGCCCTCGGAAGGCCTCCTGGGCGTCTTCTGAGGGCCTCAAGGGGCTTCCTCGGGCCACCCTGCCTCAAACGGCGGCCTCCTTGAACGACAGGGTCACGATTTGGAATGCTTCGGAGGGTGTCTTGGGGCCAACTTGGGCCGTCATGGGACTCTCCTCAACCATATTGGATCTCTGTTGTGCCGTCTTGGGGCTTTCTTGGACTGCCTGGAAGCCCTTTCTTTTGATGGTTTTGGAGCGATGCTCGAACCTCCCATGCGGTCCCGGACGCTCAGAAGACAAAGAACATGGCAATCCCAAGAATCATGCAACAACGTTGGAGAATCCATGTTTTTCCCCAACCCTCCTTGGTTGGGTATTCGTTTTGAATAGAGCACTGTGGTCGCGTCCCTCCTCCTCCTCCTCCTCCTCCTCCTCCTCCTCTTCCTCCCGCCTCCCCCTGCCCTTCCTCCGCCGACGATGGGGGCTGCGACCTGCGAAACTGTCGCCACTTTCGAGGGCTGATGGTGGGTCCTGCGGAGCGAGGCACCGCGCGGACCTGAGCGGGACCTCGCCGTCCCTGGGGGGCTGCGATCTGCGAAACGGTCGCCAATGTTGAAGTCGGCTGGTGGGTCCTGCGGAGTGAGGCGCCGCGCGGACCCGAGCGAGACCTCGCCCAGCGGAGTGAGGCACTGCGAGGACCTGAGCGAGACCTCGCCGACCCTGGGGGGCTGCGGTCTGCGAAACTGGCGCCACTTTCGAAGGCTGCTGGGGGGTCCAGCGGAGTGAGGCACCGCGCGGACCTGAGCGAGACCTCGCTGTCCCTGGGGGTCTGCGATCTGCAAACCTGTCGCCACTTGCGAGGGCTGATGGTGGGTCTTGCGGGGTGAGGCACCGCGCGGACCTAAGCGAGACCTCGCCGACCCTGGGGGGCTGCGATCTGCGAAATGGTCGTCGCGTTCGAAAGCTGCTGGTGGGTCCAGCGGAACGAGGCACCGGGCGGACCTGAGCGGGACCTCGCCGTCCCTGGGAGGCTGCGATCTGCGAAACGGTCGCCACGTTCGAGGGCTGCTGGTGGGTCCTGCGGTGTGGCGCACCGCGCGGACCTGAGCGGGACCTCGCCGTCCCTGGGGGGCTGCGATCTGCGAAACTGCCGCCACTTTCGAGGGCTGCTGGTGGGTCCTGCGGGGTGAAGCACCGCGCGGACCTGAGCGGGACCTCGCCGTCCCTGGGGGGCTGTGATCTGCGAACCTGTCGCCACTTTCGAGGGCTGCTGGTGGGTCCTGCGGGGTGAGGCACCGCGCGGACCTGAGCGGGACCTCGCCGTCCCTGGGGGGCTGCGGCGGTCGCCACTTTCGAACTGCTGACTGCGATCTGCGAAACTTTCGAGGGCTGCTGGTGGGTCCTGCGGGGTGAGGCACCGCGCGGACCTGAGCGGGACTCGCCGTCCTGGGGGGCTGCGTGCGAACTGTCGCCACTTTCGAGGGCTGCTGGTGGGTCCTGGGTGAGGCACCGCGCGGACCTGAGCGGGACCTCGCCGTCCCTGGGGGGCTGCGATC